TTCTAAAGAGAAAATTTCTTTCTTTCTACAGCAAAGCGTTAAATACATCTATATAATTATGATAAGAATCTTAAGCAACGTTACTGCTTAATACTAATATATTTGGTAATGCATTATCAAAGGAGTCAGTTTTTATTTATTGACTTATACTGACGGATCAACCACGTGCGCGGTGAATAGTTCTAATTTCGCATCTGAGGAGTCCTTATTCGGAGAATTCTGTGTTCTAATTATTTTCACATGGAAGGGACGATCAACCTTGAAAATTGGTGGTGGTTGTGGATTGATACTTGCACTCGCTAATGCAACTATGATACCTGTTGATGAAATTGTTCAGTAATTTATATCAATGCCTATTTTTAATAATATTCCACACTTTAATATGCTCGATTCTTTTGAATCCTTTTGTAGCAGTAGAAAGCATCGGCAAGTTAGTATATACTTGATCTCGTCATAATAGATCTTCATTAGATATTATGTAAGATCGTATTATAATTAGTTTCCACTTATATGATTATCAATACTGACTTAGATATATTTTATAAATTTCTCTAAAAAACGCACGATTAGCTTGTTATTAATGTTTAGTTAAAGTTAGTAACGTAAGCTTTGCAATTTTTCAGGAATACGAATAATTAGTAAGAAATATCGTAGTATGTTCGGAATATTGGAAAAGTGGTATTGCATTTTCTTCTTTTTTTTTTTTTGTTTTTATTTTGAAGCCCACAACTAGACTGTAGTTTGCTCATTTTATTCAACTTAACGTGTTTCCCTCAATCTTAATACAAAAAGTCTCGATAAATAAAGTGTTCGAGTTAAATAACGAATGAAATAAAATATTTATTTTTTTCCTTAGTTAGGTTTGCTCAAAGTACCCACGAAGAGCGATAAATTTTCTTTTGTCGATCTAATTTCATAGTGAAAAGGTCTGTCCGCCCTAAAGTATCTCCTTATTGGAGGAGCAATGGGTCTGCCCGGTTGAATTATACCACCTAAAATAGCATTGTTAGTCATTTTAAACGTGCTTGAAAAAATTTTTCAGATATGTCGTATACTTTGTGCTGAATATCGAGACACACCATTTTATAAACCTTTCGATGACAATAAGTCTCTAAAAATTAGACGTACAAACGCGAAGCATGTTTGAAAAAAAGAAATTAATTCTTGCCTATGTGTTTCTAGGGAATGTGAAGATATAATACTGACGCCATTTTTGCGTAACCGTAAAACTTTGCCTCAACAATATGAATTTAGTGAAGATTGTTAGAATGTTAGAATATTTTTCGTCGTTCAATTTTTTGCTATTGAGTGATAAACGGACAAGAAATAACTTCGAATAAATGATTATTAAAATAAATACAATTTTGATAGGATTCTTCAATATTAAGTTCTGTGTCTAAGGGTTTGTATTAAATTTGTGAGTCATAATTCGTAAATGGATATTATTAATCATTGAATTAGTAAATATGTGATAAATGTGGTTAATGATTGTTAATTAAGTAATTTATTGTTCTGTTTTCTTTGTTATTTTTTTTTTTTTTAAACAAGTTGATACTTTGAAGTTTGCCGTTTCATTGCAACCGATAAAAATAATTGAATAAAATGCCTTGTATTCTTATAGCGTTGGTACAGCTACGATTCCAGTGAATGTAGAAATATTTTTGTGTCTTAGAGTGAAATGGAAAGGTTTATCCACATTAAATGTTTTCTTATTAACTGAGCCTGATATTCCTACTATAACATTATCTATAACAATAATTAATTATTCATTATTATATTTGCGACTTTGTTAGTAATAATTAAAAGCGTACGATTTTTTTAAGCATATTTCAATGTTAATGGTTATAGAAAAATATGCTTGAATATGCAAAAGCAAAGACAAGATACTGGTTCTTGTTATAACCACGAGAATAAATTTTTTAGCCCAGAGACAACGTTGGAATAACAAAGCAAAACAATCATCGAGATACTGATTATTGATCCTAAATATTATAGTTAATGGTATTACTATGACAAAATGTTCTATGAAATGTAAGATAGAACGTGAAATATATAAATTAAACGCGTATAAAATTATGTATAATAGTTCAAAGAAATGAACTCATAAATAACGAAATGTCTATTAAATGAATATTTCCGTGATACCTCTCTAACGAAAAGGATAGTTTTATACAATAATATGTAATCGTTTATCGCGCATTCACTCATATTCCGGTTTTTGAACTTGCCCAACAAATAATAAAATATTATCTTTCCGTATTATAACTAAAAACGGTTTGTCAACATGGACTGCATCGATTGATGGTGTTCCTATTCTGTCTTCTAGCTCAACACCTGAAACAATATTGTTATTTTCCTAATAACTGAAAAACAAAAAGAAGAAGAAGAATAAGGAGAAAGATCTTCGTTAAAGTCAACCGTCACCATCGACAAAGAATCTTAAATAAAAGAGTATTGTTTTTAATCATTGTACATTTGTTCAAATAGCCGTTAAACATATCCCATTAAAACACAAACTAATTGTAAGTATTATATACTTTGTTAAGTTGCATAATAAATTGAGAGTAAGAGAAGAAAAAAAAAGCGATGGCTGTCAATCGATTGTCAATAGATTCCAACTTAGTAATTGTAAGTTTAATTATTGCCAAGATTTTACGGACAACTCTTTCAAACGGTTCTATTAAGGATATATGAAATTTCGGTCGCGTATGCACATATATTAAAGTCTTTAGTAATGTTCAAATAGAAAATAATTTATTGAAAATTGATTATTTTTTTAGGAATAATACTATCATCAATTCTGTTCATTTTAGTTTCTTTTTTTGTTGGTTTTTCTTTTCTTTTTTTTTTTTTTTTTAATGACCAGTCGGTTTTCGAAGGTGAGCAGCAAACAGTTGTACGTTATTTTTCTTTATTATTAATAAGAATGGTCTCTCGGCTCTGAATTCTGATTTAGGTCCTGGACGTCCTGATTTAACACCAACATTACCTTCTGAAAAGATATCAAATTTCTCTAACGTGTTTCCGTAAACGAAATTAAAAAGATGAATTACCATCACCATCCATAAATAGAATTTCTTCGACTAGACAACACTATCCTTGACAAAATTAAATAAAAAAAATTAAAACTATACGAAAAAGCATTGACGACGACAATATCAGCAAATTTATCGAAATTACATATTCGTTTTCTATATCAAGCATCACAAATAAAATAACGCTACGTTACATTAAGCTAATTGCTAAATAATAATCGATACCATAGATCGATATTACCAATGGGCTGAATACTTCATCATAGTTTTTTAATCGTTTCAATCGTATTCTTTATAAACGATATTTCTAGGAGCGTGCCATAATTTTATATCTACTGTGGAAAGATGAAAGCAGTGATAAATGGATGCAGTTGTGGCGACTAGTAATCGAACCATCCGAAGTTTTCAACTCTATAACTTTTACATATAGCATTTTTATATGGCTACAGTTTTTTTGAAAAGAACAAATTGTCTATATTTTTCTATACATACATACATACCTCTCGTTGTCTTCGAAATAATATCTTATTCCAGTGATACTATTTAGTTACCTTAATTCGCTTTGCTTTGCCAATTTCATTCAAAAATGAGATCAATCTTTCATACGAAATTATTAATTTTCTATAAATTTGTTACTAAATATAAATATATTTTTTATTTTTTACTCAAACTATTCGTCTATGTTCCAAACAAATTATAATATAATATATATATACATATTAATGTATAGGTGTGTGTGTGCGTGTTTGCGTGTATCTGCATATAAATAAATATAAACTCTAGTGTGTCGTATGAATCTATAAACTAATAAATAATATGAGATACAAAAAAGATCTTCGCTTAAATATAACGCATAAGTAAACCGTGCTTTTTTTTGACTTGTATTAGGAAAAAAATGAAAGAAAAGAAAAATTTTGAAAATTGATGAATCTTGAAAAACTTTAGAGAATAGAAAGGGAAAATATTTCTTATCATTTGATAAAATTTAAATGCGCATATTTATATAGCAGCGATGATTCATTACGAAAATATCAAGATAACTTCACAGAGAGCATGCTTGTTAAATTGATTATTCAACAAAAAAAATACATGAGATTCTTATACGGCAAGTTCAAAACTTATCTATTGATCGATAAGTTTATACAAATGATAACATCCTATCTATAGAATGATATACACGTATGCACATTTACGAACAAATGATTTTAAATCAAGAAAAAGAATAAAAGAAATTACGTGTACTTAAATAGGATTTAACAAATGTATGACACGTGTATCAATTTCGAATTGATATATTATAAAAATGTATAGAAGAAAAAAAAGTGGGAAAAAAAATAAGCTATGTGTAAAGTTTGGATTGTATCAAAAAGAAGATCAACGATTACGACTTTATTCTCGTCTCGAACAAAACGATGTTTCCATATTTAATAATCGCCAAGAATGGTCGATCGACATTGAATCGAATAGGCGGCGGTGGTGACCATGAGCTTGAAAGAGGCCTGAATCTAATACCTGTTAGAATAATCAATGAAACAGAATATTACAGACCAGACCCATCGTAACGGAATGAAATAAAATATAATGCTAAGAAAAAAAAAAGAACAAAGAATAAAGAGAGAAAATAAAAATTTTGTGGTTACTTAAAAGTAATTTCAATTAAATTAAAAAAGGGAGTTACATTGTTAAATGAAGTGTATGTTATGTTTATTATTCCATGTGGATGATAGAAAAATATCATATAAATACATAATGAATATGAATATAATGAAAATTCCTTTCGTTGTGTTTGATCATATTCAAACGAGACCTAAAATTTATTTCTATTCGTCATTTTACGTGATCGAATCGATTGTATAAATTTACTTATTAATTTTGTATGAATCTTCCTAAATAAAACGTCGAAAAGATGATGCATCTATTCTTCGATTGAGAAAATATGGAATATTGAAAAAAAAATCCTCATCGTTATCGCGTGAAGATACGATCTGATTGTGAGAAGAGATTATAAAGTAAATGCTTAGTCTGTTTGACAAATCAAGAAATATATACAGAAAGTTAAGAGAGTTATAGCAATTGGATATAGCTATTAATGAAAAGAAAGGAAACAAAAGAAATGAAAAAATGATACGCTATTTGATATAAGAAGCACATTGAACAGATAAACATGCTATTGCAGTAAAAGAATGAAGAAGCTTGAAATATGGTAAAAATTATTATCTGAATTAAAGATTAACATTAAACAAAAAAAATGTATAATAGCTGAGTTTATAAACACAAGAGCAAAGTACACGGAATGCAATAAGTATTAAAGATTTCTGAAGAAATTCTGAGAAAGCAAATGGCAAGTAAATGAACAAATGAGATACATTGCTGATTTATTTTAATAGCATAAATAAATTGTTATATTATGTAATGTTGTTAGAACATTTCTCAGAATTTTTCGGAAGAAAAAAAGAAATACATAGATAAAGGAAGAGACAAAGTAATTGTTAGCGTTTCATCTCTATAGCCTTTGTCTACTTCCGTTTTAATAAAATCTAAAAAGCAAACAGCAGGTATTTATATAAGTTGTAATGTACTTACCAGTTGCTCCTGCAGCTTCGCTACCTTCTTCATTTACTTCAATGAATGCCTTCTGTACAACTTCAGAGATGTAGAGGTCAGTATCGGAAATACCGCTAAAGTTAGCTTCAGCTATGCTGAACGCCTTTCTTATTCCCATCTAAGTAAAGAAAGATTATAATGTTTTAATGATATATGTCATTTTTCGTGAAATCTAATATTGATTATAGCGTTTAATACTCACGTTCTTAAGATGTTCATTGAGTTTAATAGAGCTTTCGATCTTGAATTTCGGCAAGTAAACGTCAACATCAGTAATGTGTCCTCTCTTGAGAACTTCACCGAGACCGTGGACTGCCAATTTCTTTTCAATTGCAGCCAATCCGTCGACTTCGTCAGGTAAGATGATTACCATGCTGAACTCTTCACCCTAAAGAAGCAACAATTCTTTTATTTAAGATCTTAATTCATCAGTTAATCAGTTAATCAATTAATATAAATAGCTCAAATCAAATTACTTTGTATGGAAGCTCGATAAAAGAGGCTTTACATTCAGGAAGTACACCATAGTTGTACTTTCCAGACCTGTACATAGTAGGTACATTCTTAACTTCAGTCTTGCTGACGTGGAAGGGTCTATCTTGAGTCAATTTAGGATCGAACTTCTTCTTCCAGTTACCCTTGAAGTAGACAGCATTGACAAGCACCATGGCGGTTCCACCATTTAAACTCTCTGCAATGAAAATAAGTATTCACATAATATGAAAAGTTCAATAAAGAAAAGAAATAATAGAAGACTAAAAGTAGACTAACCGGATTTGACGAGGTCCTTAATGCGGTGGTTAGTTTGTTCCTCAACCCACTGGTTGATAGTATTAGCAGCCGATGCGCTTTGAGAAAAGTCAACAGATTTCGAGGTCGATAAGAATGCATTTTGAGTTAGTTGTTGGAAAGTTGGTTTAACGGAGAATTTGTTGTTTACGAAAACTTTATTGGCGAGACGAAGTTCTACGTCTGTGACTTGCTGCAATGTATAATTTCGAAATGAACGATATAGTAAAAATATTATCATTTTAAATAAAATTAAGATAAGAGATTTAATAAACCTTACGTTAAGAGTCGTAAGAAGACTTGAATATCCAGATTTAGCTTGGGATTCCGGCAGAAGATGGAGAACACTTCTCATTTCGTCTTGAGTCTCTCCGCGGGCGCCATAAGCAGCCATGGAAAGAACAACGGAAGCGCTAAGAGGAGAAGTGACCAAATTGCCATGATTTGATGACGCGACCTCCTAATAAAGTTTATTATAAATGACGTAATTAATAATTCAATTCAAATAAAATTATACTAATATATATCGAAATATAAATAAAGATTTATTTTTCTTACAGCGAAGAAGGACGTTGAGAATTGGTTGTTTGCTTCAGTGACAGCCTGAACGGCCCTGTTTTCAGTAGGCCCAGCCATGGTGTTCACCAGGCAGATTGCCAAAATTAATAAGTCTAATAGTGAAAATGAAAATAAAAAGAAAATTATTATTTGAATTACATTTCGCGCGCGCGATTACATTAAATTTCATTAAACGGATCGCGTTAAATATAATATTTGTAATAATTTATTGTACGTAGAAATGATTTTCGAATTTACAAATCTAAGTTTATCGCAATAAATTTGCAGATTAGAGAAAATGTTCATATTAGAATTATAAAACATTTATCTGCGATAAATATAAAACGAAACGAAGAAAATTCAAGAAAAAAAATACAAATAAATGGATAGAACGTAATCAAGAATATAGTTAGATGCGAAAATAAGGTCAAGATCGTTTAGTTCGAGCACGATTTCTTTTATATTTCGAAAGAAATTATCAATTAAATTTTCCCATTTGATCACACATTAAACGATAATTAACAAGAAAGATTACATGAAAAGATTATAACTATTATAGAACATTACAAAAAAGAATATATTATTTTAAAAAAAACTAATTGGTAGACTATGTAGATGTTTCTATTTGTTCTGTTATAAAATATCGATAAAAAATTTAACAATAATGAAATTGGAAAAAATGATCGACCACCGTTAAACAAATATCTAACGAATAAATTATTATAAAACGTAGGCAAAATTGAAATAATATTCCATTTCGATGATCTAAAACAAACAAAAGTTAATCGTATACAATATTTCATGTATTGCATACGTAAGAAAAAAAAATATAATGAAATAAACTTATCTAATTGACACCAAACAATAAGATATACCCGTATATAAACTATTCATATATAATATGTGCAAAGTATATACGCAGGCTATCCAATATTTCCTCAAGTCTCGTTGGAAAAACCCATTGTGTCAGTGAGAGGAGGCGGGAGGTTTAGCATAATGATTGCAGTAAGTGGTAACGTATTCTTCCATATAAATCAAATAATTTCTTCGAAATTATTTAAATACGTATCTAGTTATAATGTAAGTATACACATTCATCCATACATATAAAATTATTGCTGATTTATTGATGAGATATTTCGAAAAATATGAACAATTTAAGAAAAAAAAAAAAAGTATTAAAAATGTTTTCCTATCGATCTTTATTGCTTTAGATATTGGCAATCGCATTATCGTTTATATTAGCTTGATTGTATGCGTATCTAAATTTATTATAATAACGCTAGTATATTCTCCGCATGTAAATATACCCAAGAAAACATATTACATTCGTTCAAGTCGTTTAGCAATGAGGAAGGATCATGTTCGAGACCACGTTCTCATATTATGATAGTTAAATATGTTTAAGTATATATATGAATAATTATCTAAATTGAATGTAAAGTGAAATTAAATGATACATAATTGAAATATGTTCTGAGAAAAAATACATCAATGACACACTTTGGTGTTATCAAATTTAAAATGAAATGTAATTTAACAACCGGAAAGAAAAATAATTTCAATAAATTATAGATAACATCTAGTGATACATAGTTTATAAATAGAAAATCTTTTTAATAATATATTGTCATAATAGGAAGATTTATATTTTAAATGTTTTTTAAATTGCCGATGATACATTGATAAGTTCTTCTCATAAATTACATATTAAGATTCGACAAAATCTATTTTGAAGTTCAAAAAGACAAAGTCAACATTTTCTGGGATACATCTAGGGTACATATTCAATGATGAAAATTTCGAAAAATTGAATGAAATGTATAAAAGTAGAAGATTCCAACTCACTTATATACATCTTGATTGGTTGTGTCTGTCGTCTCGCTTTGAATGCCAAACGTTGACTAAGAAACGAGAGTTTGATACGCGTATATAAAAGAGAACCGGCTGAGAACCCCCAGGAAAGTCCCAATGACGGAATTGCGATGGAAGAAGCTATGTAACGATTAAACACGACGAACAACACCGATCTTGAATTACAACTAGCCAATCACGTTGCTCGAACGATCACAAGCAAAAAGATAAGCGCGCCGAGCATAATCTCTTTTAAATTCGTAAATTCAATTGTGACTCTCGACCCTGGAACGAAGAACACGAGTACGAGTACACAGGCTGTTAGGTGCAAAGATCGAATTAAGGAAAAATCAATGAAATTATTTGTCCCTAATTTATTTAAAAACAAAAAAAATCCCCGGTAAATTATGAATTTTCAAAAATCAATCGATCGATTTGATAAAACACTTGTAATGGTATTTCATTCAAACGGATGTGATTTTAACGATTTATCAATTTTAATAATAATATAATCGTTTATATTTTTCAAAATAATAATGGTTCTCATTTTTCTCGGATGATAATTAGTTGGAAGAATAATTTAAAAATTATCCAACGATAATAAATAGCGTTACGACAATTACAATATCGTAATGGCGATATGACGTCAACAGATTATTTCTCTTTTCTAATTCTAATGTTTTCTACTTATTTTTCATCATCTTTATCTTCTGTTATTTATCATATCGGAAAAAATTCAGTAATTCTTATGAATAATATTTAAAATAGTTTTCATTTACATTTATTGTATATTATTTGTTAATATAATAACTCGATAAGATTAACAAAAAAGATATGATATTTTGAAGATTTGACCAAATCTATATTTCTTAATCGTAATCTCTTTATCGTAAAGCATTTATTTTACAAGTTATAAGTACTATAAATAAATTAACACGTAAAAAGCAATAAATTAAAAAATTTTACTAATCATCGATGCGCTTGATTATATCTTAAGAGAATAAGATAGACGATCTATTTAGACAAGACCTGCGTGGACGATAAAATAGATGCTTGTCATTTAATCCATTTTATTTACCTTAGTATGTAGAACTATCCATATCGGGAAAAAGAAAGAGAGAGAGAGAGAGAGAGAGAGAGAGAGAGAGAGAGAGAGAGAGAGAGAGAAAGAAAGAAAGAAATAAAGACAGACAAATCAAAATTTGTTTATTTCAAAAAATTTCCATTGATTCTAATCTGATCTAGGAAAAAAAACATGTTTTTGGTAAAAATATTTATAACGATGATCTTTTCGTTCTCGTTAGATAATATATCGAACAATGATAGATATTTAGAAAAAAGGGGAAAAAAAAAGAAAAGTGACATATAAAAAATCTTGATCAAAAAAGACGAAAATGCGTGATCAAGATAAAGATCAAGAGTAATGCAGTAGTTGTTAATAAGGGTATAGTGATTTGTATACAACTAGGTATACGTAGTTTTTGACTGACGTTGAATAGTTGCAGTATAGAAACCTGGTTGATAATCTAAATAAAATGAGGATGAATTATCATAAACGACCATGAACGCATATAAACGCATAAAAATTGATAGGCATCTGAGTTAGTAAAAATACGGGTAGTCAGATTGGTCCGTTATACACAAATATGGACAAGAATTCATCCATGACCTTGAAATTATCCCCCACCCATATAGATTCCTTCTTACCAATACCACAACTCTTGTCCACTTTAGTCCACTCTTGTAGAGAAAATTGTACCATTATAACCAACGCCCACATCATATTTTTACAGACAACGCCCATGCGATGAATCGTACAAGATTATTCTATGAAATAATGTTATTATTTCTTATAGAAATTTGACCATTCATTCGAATTTGTAAAACAGAAATAAGATAAAACATATTTACCAATATAGCGGACCAATCAACACATCAAATTTTCCCTTCGAATGTTATACAATCGAATGATATCAACGAAGACACAAGGATTTGCTTCTTTCGCTCAATAAAACTCACACGTCGACAATATGTATATGAATAACGAAGGATTGTTGAATCGACTACACATCTACAACGTCGCTGGTATCGTTTTCTAGATTTAAATCAATATACCTAAAGCGCGGAATTTAAAAAGTCAATAAAATATCCTTAGAATTGAATACCCGTTGAACAATTTCGAATTTGAAATTCGAAAGTAAATGTACGTTCTCGGAAAATGATTGTCAGCAAGAAAATAAAATGAATTTATTCATTATTCGATATTATTTACCAGTTTATGAAAAAGAAATATTTAAAAAAAAAAAGACTAAAAAGTAGATGGACACGAGTACGCATATTTGTACATCTTGCATATTTTTTTAAATTTTTTCATCGAAATAATAAGAAGAGATTATAAACTTCCACCACGTTCTATATTTTGTATAATAAAGATTTTTCTGAAACATTACCATATCCATATCCATATCCGCAGATCTAAATCTCGATAACGAATCGGGATCAAGTGTTTTTTTGTGATTTTCACGAGATTTGTTTCTCTTTTTAAAATACTCGTAGATAAATATAATATAATATAAATTAATCAAATTGCGTCACTTTTTTTTCACTTCAATACGATCGATTTGATGATAATTATTTTGATGATTGCGCACATTAAATAAAACTTACCGACGAAAGAAAGATTCACTGTTTCAAGTTTTAAGGCGTATTAAGCAGGCATATAACACGCACAAAACTGACTGAAAAATGAAACGAACCGGTTGACGCATAGTCTTCGATAAGATTATTTGTTGGAAGATATTTCAATCCAACCAAAATAAATATCTAAATTTAACTTACTTCGATGCCCGTTGTTCGACCTAAAGTCATATTTCCGATGGTTTCTAATTATTAGAAACGTAGCTAGCTAGCATGTAAATTTTATTATACTTTCATTTATCTTTTTCAATATTAAAATATTATTACTCTTTCGAAAAAATAACAAGTTACAAGCTTAACTACAAAATATAGCCCTAGTAATCTCATCGATTCTTATTCAAACCTTATCTCGTATAAAATGATAATCCAGATAAATATTACCTCAAAAATAATATTCCATTAGATTAAGTATAAGATGATTCAATGAATATTAAAAGCTTAATACAATTTTTAATGACAAATAAATTGAATCTTTCGAAATAGATAAACAACGATACCATAGTCCGCTTTCTTATTAAATTCCTATAAATTGTGCAATTCCTCGAATTAGTGAAAATATCAGATGTTATAGTTATTATTAATATTGCTGTAAAATTATAATAATTATGGGAAAAAAATGTTAAAATATTACATATGAATATGGGAAAGTACCGTTTAAATTAAAAAATTGATAACGTCTTATTTTTCTATCAAGCCTTTTCGAAATGTCTTGGTAGAAAGGTGCCCCTTCGAAATTGTTCTCTGTGATCGCAACATTTATCATTAGGATATCCCTTTTTACAAAGATCACAACCACAAGTAGGCTCTCGAGGTTCTTCGTGGTAAGGTGGACAAGGAGCAGGTTTCGGTTCGCAACAGCAAGGTGTGCTAGGATCCTGTTGTATAATAAAATGATCGAAGAAGATTTATTTTAAGATTAAACTAACCGATAATTTATGTATATCTACTTATACCAACACCGATCGAATGACCGGTCTTAAATCAAGTTCCGATTCAAATAATGAATAAAGTAATTTGTAGATAATAATAAAATAATATTTATAATTATAATTATATATGATAAATGAAGAAAAATGAATTATTAAATTTAATACAGAATTTTAATTGAACACCGGTCGTGACATGTTAAAATAATGGTCCTTAATATTATATAAATAATTATCATTAAAAGCTAAATGATCTAATCGTTAACCTGCATTTTAATGAAACAACAAGGTGGTTCCCGTGGTGGACACATTTCACTAGGTGCTTTGTAATCCCATAACTTTTGATCTGAATCTTTAGATTTGTCTTGGTCTTTTTTATCGGTACGAACATCTGTTCGTGTATCTCCACGATCATTGATTTGTGGATCGGTACGATCATCGGTATGTGGAACGGAACGATAATCGGGTTTAATATCGCTTTCTTTTTCGGGAATAATTAATTGGCTTTCAGACTTTTTTCTTCTCCAAGGACACGCTGATGTTATTTGCTGCGTAGTCCATTTAATACCTCCGTTTACTGGCAATTATCAATAAAAATCAATAAAATAAGAAATAATGATTATGTATACAATTATAATAATTAATAATATTTAATAATAAATACATTAATATAAAATTAAAGGAAAACATGAAATGTGGCCTATGAATTGTATTTTTTACCAGTATTAAGCATTCGATCGAAAATATTTGAACGCGAATCATCTTCCATATTTATTAATGATGACAATGATGTCCCACAAAATTGTAGGATCTACGATACAAATCAGTTCTCCATTCTTTTTAGATAATATACATTTTTTCATAAGATTTAATTTTGTATGGTAATGATCGAAAATGTAAATCGATGAATGATCGATATATCGATTATTTGATTCGATTTACTCGACAAAAGCAAAAGATACAAATATATAATTTTTGTTCTATTAATTAAAAACGATTGCTGATCACTCGATCAAAAATAATGAATATTTTTAAAATGATATATCTCATAGATTATTATATTTTTTTTTATTTTTCTCAAAACATATATCATCGCCAACAATATCCAAATATGAGCGCCAATAATATCGACATTGAGAATATACAAATAAGATATGTATATCAGCTAAAAAAAAATTGAAATATGTATGTAGATATCCTCTGGTGTGTATTGACATGTACTATGAAGCGATCATAAATTAAAACCAATCAAAAGGCAAACGAAACTTGTCCAAAAAATTTCACGAGTAAAGAAATTACGTCTCTATAGAGAATATATTACAATGGTTTTATTTTTATCAGTGTTTTCGTTCGCGACTGGTGGATTTTAAGGTTAAATTCCCAATAATACAATGATGACAGACCAAAACATTTATAGCATACAACTAGACCCGGAAACAAAAATGCATTGTACATTGTATTTGTTCAAAAATGTAAAAAATACTGCTGAAGTAAAAAAAAAGGTAATCTCTGGGGATCTTGCTTGTTGCTTCTTAAGACCTACATGCATAGTAGATCCATTTCAAATAGTAATAGCCGCCAACAAGGCGGCTATTAATGAACATTGTAATCAGTTAATTACAAGGAATAAATTTACAGAGACTTTGTTTTATCTCTCAATAACTAAAAATATATCCAAATCACTATCAGATTTTGGGATAAACGACAATGATACAAATATATTGGTTGTAGCGATTCACAAAATAGACGATCAAGAATCTATCTCAAAAATGATTATTGATAATATAAAAGGAGAAAGAATATCGCTAGAAGAGCTGAAAGAATTAAATAATTTGGAACTAGTACAAAAATATTATAAAATTGATAAAGAGGAACTAATTGTATCTACTTATACAGATTCGATAATATCTAGAATCGCTTGCAAAGACTTTTCTTCAATGAAATCATAACGTTTGATTAAAAATAATTCATATAAAATAAAAAAGAATAATAATATTAAAAAAAAAAAAAAAGGAAATACAGAATGCAAAATATTTGGATTCTTACCAAACCAAATGAATATATTTTATTTTATTCTTTCCATTTAAGAAAACTAAATAACTGTATAAGAACACAATAAATACAGAACCTATCTTGAATCACAGTTTATAATTTTTAACCGACTAAAGCAAATATTTTGTTTCTTCCGAGCATGAGTGAATTTGTCAATGAGGAATTTAACTTTGACCATAGCATATAAGATAAGAAAAAATTCCATTTCTATTCATTAGTACTACGACGCTGAGAAAAATGACGTTATAATTCTCGTTTCCCTGACGTTTCGCTGATTATACCTTAATAATCTAGAATCCAGCTACGAAAAAACATCTTGGTCACCTCTGTAAGAATATAAAAGTTTAATAAATTTTTACATTTTTTTTGACTTTAAAAAATATGTCTTTGCAAAATGGACAACTGACAAACCGGAAGTAACTTGCAGGGATTCATTACAGTCAAGTATGTAAAATGGCTGTAAACGAATAATCATTAAATCAAAAAAGCAGGATAGTGCATTAGTGTTAGTCGGAAATATGTATTTTTGCTCGATATTTTTTTCTTATTTTTTTTTTTGTCTGTTTTATTCACTCATAAATAAGGCCAAAGATGCGTAGAAAACAATCATAATATCCGTAAGGATACAGGATGAGTCAAATCCTGCGGAAGTAAATTAATGATTTTAAAAGAAAACACCCTTAAAAGAGCACACAATGTTTTGTAAAATATGGAGACTTCATCTAGGAGTACCTTGGTAGACTGCACATTTCGCATATTGAAAATTCTGCACCGTTGATAAAAGTGCAATGAGGACAGGTCCATAATTCTTGATCGGCAGACGAATTAGCAGCAGCTTCCGTGCCAACGGCTACGCTAGAACTAGCTGCTGGCAGGGAAGACGATGCTCTAACCATGCCGCTATTAAACGGTACTTGCGGAACTTGCGACGTGGATGCTGCACTAGCTGATATTAATTGTTCCACCGTGGCCCAATGTTCGGAACGTGACCATTCAATTGCCATTTGTTTATTTTTAGTGCGCACAGCTTCGAGCAATGGTCCCATGTGATCCTAAAATTTCATCAAAATAAATTCAATTTACAGTTTACGTTAACGAAGATATATTAATGAGTATACATACCTTCATGGGTAGCATATCCATAGTTGTAATAAACAAAAGCAAGTGGAAATCTGAAATAGCTTCAAAAAATTGGTCCGAATTAAACTGCTGCATATAAGTACACAACGAACGAAACTCTTGAACTTGTCCATCAATTAATCTAAAATCAAATAATCGTATTATTATATTCTTCTTAAGCTAAATATTAGCATCGCATTACCTGTTTTCAATAAGGAACGGAGTAATATCATCGTTTACATAAAATGTAAATTGGGGAGTAAGAGGGGTGGATGCAGGTATATCCACTAATAAATACTCCACGGGTAGAGGTCTTGCTAGCCTTGATACTTCATTGCCGTAGCTATCTTTTTCCTAAAAACAAAAAAAAAAGAAATAAAATATAAAATAAATATCATAAGTAAATAAGATACATATGTTAAATGTAAAGAAATATAGGAAGGGCGGGAAAAATTTTGAATCGCAAAACATTAAGGCGAATCTATCGGCGTTGAATGAATGAAATGTGCGCGCACGCGCAGGACATGAGGAAGAAAAATCGAGAAGGGGGAGCGTGGAAGATTCGAAGTAAGGTTGATAGTGTCGCCGCAATGCGAGGAATCGTCCAAATGACGCACGCGAAATATCGCTGGCCGATTGGTTGATAGCGAAAAGGAGATAGGAGAAAGAGAAAGAAAGACGGCAGAATAGAGAAGACGAGGAGAGTAAGAGTGAGAAAAGGAGAGAGAGAAAGAGCAACAGCGTAAGCGAAGGAGTGCGCGGTGTAGTGCGTGTGTCGGTCGGTCGGTCGTCGCCGCCATGCTAGTGGTTAGTTTAGTGAACCAAACATCATGATGTGGCAAAACGTTTGCACGAGCTAAAAGCTGGAGCAACGCCGCGTTAACCGGCGCGCCGTCGTTATGTTATCCACAATAACTCACGAGGTTCGATAAAAAAGCGTAAACATTGTTGAACGCGAATAGTACAAACAAACAAACATAAGCAAGCAAAAAAAATCCCCCCACGACTATTAGAGTATCACGGCAAGAGAGGAAAGGAGACGAAGACGAAGACGACGACGACGACGACGACGACGAGCACGGTAACGGCGACAACGACAGCGACGGCAACGGTGACAGTGACGGTGACGGTGACGGAACGTCGACGACGACAGCAACGATAACAGCGACAACAACAACGGCAACGGTGACAGTGACGAAGATTAGAACGACGACAAAAAAAAAACAACGTACAGCCCACCGGTACTATCGCTCCGAAAACGATCACGACGAAGACAACAGTGGCAACAACGACGACGGCAACGACGACGACAACGACGGCAACTCGTCCGCGTCTAAACATTCGCGAGTGGGATATCGCGTTATGTCAGTCCCGATGTAAATTAAAATATGATCGTATGTGCTGGAGTGAGAGAATAACGAGAAGATATAAGCATCCTTACAACGATATTATATATCGAGAGTGACGAGTGTCAACGATCAGCCTCCATCGCGCGGTAAGGAGACGATCACGAACGTATACACGGTACGAAGCATTTAGATGATTCTAATAGAAGAAGACGGTGTCTTTTATAAGAGAAAGAGTTTACCTCCCTCTTTCTTTTTTTTATTACATAGATGCGTATAATAAGAAGGAGAGAGAAAGAGAAAAAGGGTGAGAGAGTAATAGAGATATAGAATAAAGAGAGAGCATGTATGAGCATACACGTCTGTCTTTTCCTCTCTCTTTCTCTCTCTACGTAAGCGGGAAGGCAATATGGCGCGCGGGCGCGCGTAAAATACGTGATTGGTGGGGGAAGAGAGGGAGAATCGAGAGACGGAGCGCGCGTAAGTGACGGCGAGAGGAAAAGAGGAGGAGGAAGGGGAGCCAAGTTCCCGCGGATTCCCTCGGTCTACTGTGACACGTAGTAACTACTTTGTGAATCTCTAAGTCGTTTAGGAGAGAGAACTTGCCGCCGACCGATAAGCTTGGGAATCCGCGCATCGTTCGACCTACAATCGTTTATCGGCTAGTCTTTTTTTCTCTTTCTTTTTCTTTCTCTTTCTCTCTCTCTCTCTCTCTCTCTCTCCCTCTCTTTCTTTCTCTCTCTCTCTCTCTCTCTCTCTCTCTCTCTCTCTCTCTCTCTCTCTCTCGCGCGCTCTCTCTCTTTTTCGGTGGGCGCGCGCACTCGTTTCTCCTCATGCGGAGCTTGTCGCCACGATATGACTGCCGCCTGCCTGCCGCCTGTCTGCCTTCCTGCCTATCTATATTACGAGGTATTCGAATAGCAATAGAAAACTAAATTTACACGATACCTTTTTTTCTTATTATTTCTACTTCAAACTCCCTTCTCGCGTTAAACATCGTCGTGTTAATAAATGCCGAATAACAAGTAACTACTACTACTCCGTATCAAAGTTCTAAATGACTTGGACGATTCGAATCCTTCCTTCTTCTTTCTCCCACCTTTGAAACTCTATTACTTTCTCTCTTTCATCCTATACATGTAAACGTACGCGCGCGCGTCTTCTCTCTTTCTCTCTTCATTCTTTCCGGGATAACACTGTAGCTAGGTTTTGGCGCGATTTCATGCGCACGCGCTTCTCATACACGAAAAAATTACATTTTTTGCAACATTCCTACCAATATTTCGTCTAGTAATGACTTCGCCGATAAATAGACTGCTCCACGCTACACGATGACGTCTTTACTTGAACCTTTCAAAGAGAACTAGAATTTTGGAGTTTTATTCGTTCAACGTAAAAAGGAAACCTTGCGGAAAGATCAGAAAGATTCTATTGAAATTAATTAAGTTCTACTTTCCCTTTGTGGACCATCTGAAAGAGCTAGAAGTTTTTCAGTTTGATATTGTGCCATGTGCTTAAGAACGCAGCCACGTGCTCGCGTTGTTTTTTTATTTTCTTTTGTTTGAGATAAAAAAATACACATTTGTAATACTATTTTGTTGGAAAAAAACAATTTGTAAAAATATACAGAAATATTTGTGAGGTCATACAATGGCATTAGAACCAATGAAAAATGCATGAAATGACATGATATAATGTTTGAACCTTAAAATTCGACATACATAGAATGCAGACAAAATATTTTTGTTTTATTCGTAAAAAAAGAAGTGTGATTATAAGGTAATAACGATCTAATTATTTTTCTTAGTTAAATATGTATGCAAGTAAAGTGAAACATTCAAAAACATGCATATAAGTGCTCGTGTTCTCAGGTAAACTTTTCTTGTTTTGATGCGAATAAACAAATTGAAAACTGAATAAGTGTCATTTTTAAAGGAGCAATTTTATAATCTACTTAAATTTTTCATTTCATTAAATAAAATAAAAAAAGTAAGAATAAAAGATCAATCAACTTTATGGTAGATATTAACCGTATAAATATTATGCATTAGTAATTTGAACAAATGAGAAATCAAAACGCACTACATTTCATATTAAAAGAGAGAGAGACGAAAGAAAGATTCTATATCTAATACGTGTTACCATCATTTCTGGGATTATGATTATATCGCTTGTATTTTTTACAAAATGAAATCTGTGATAAAATTTTTCATTCTTATTAATAGACATTGTCTATCCGTTGACATTATTTCACATTTTTTTCAACTTGCTAAAAGGAAAAATACTTTTACTTTATAAAATAAAATTTGATTAATTCGACTAAACCAATTTAAGGGGAACAACTTTGTTCGATATAGTCATCATCTTCAAACATTTGCTAGCCAATAATCAATTATATTTTTTTTAATATGAAAAATTTCTCAAAGTAGTCTTTATCGCTCTTTATTTATGATTGCATAAAATTAACATAACTCTATTATGCTTTCAGATGTTGGATCCAAGTGTTTTGACGGATTTAGAGGAGCTTACGCTTTGCACTTATTGCAAACAGAAATTCAATGATGTTGAACTGTGTCCTAAATATCTTAGTTGCAAACACTATTTCTGCTTGCGTTGCATAGAAAACAACTTGTTGAAAGGGCGTGAATTATTTTGTGCTCATTGTTGGAAGAGGACCGACCTGGGTGATCAAGGACCAGATTCTTTGCCGACTTATTCTCCACTTCTTACCCTAGCAAACAACCTCCCTCATTTAAAGAACACATCTAATAAATGCGTCGAAAAAGAAAGAAAGGTATAAAATAAATTGTGTAAAGCAAAGAAAAATATCACGCCTATCTAGAAAGAAAAAAAGAGAGGGAGAGAGACAGAGTTTGTGTGTGTGTGTAAGAGAGAATCCAGTTTTCTTTTAAAAATCTGTTTCTGTATTTGGTTTTAAATTATGACTATTTGCTTTCATTAATATTATTCTTAGTTGCTTAAAAACAAAATTCCTGGACACATAGGTGCATGATAGGGAGGGGAGAGTACCGCGCAAGTTACGAAGCCATATCGAGAAAGATTCTCGTGGTAATAGGATCACATTATACGACGTTCCTTTCTCCTTTATATTGTAACGTACTTTGTCCCTTTTTGCTGCACCTACACATTTCATTCTTTTTTGTCTTTTTGATTTTTACTATCACTTTGATCTTAAAACTCTCTTGTTTTTATTTAATCTATTTCATAGCCTCCATTATCTTTTACTAATATTTTGAAATTCGATCGATAATATAACAAATGTATAAGATTCATTTCTTTGCAGAGTGAAAATTGTCACACTCATGGGATGCCTTTGGCTTTTTGGTGCGCAACGTGTTGCAAGGCACTTTGCAGAGCCTGTGCAACGCCTCAAGAACATCCGGGACATCAGATTAAGTCGCAAATCGATGCCAAAGAACAACTTATAGCTGAGGTAAGTAGCTTTTTTTTCTTTCTCTCTCTTATAAAGGAAAACAAAAAACAAAGATAATCCTTGATTATCGTAAGTTGTATCCTGCATTGTGCCTTCACTTGTAATATCAAAAGGTCGACAAAAAATCTTTCAACAACGACAACTTATCGATAGGTCCAATTGGAACTAGTCGCCATGGGGAAGCTGTCGAACGAGATACAAAGACTGGCAGTACATCAACGAGGATTCTTAATGAAAGTATTGGAGGCATGCGTTACTTTGAAGACACACGTGGAAACGGATCTACATAACGGTTGGAGCCATTTACCAGAACTTACGGATGCTCGTGAAACTTTAGGAAAAGCAAAGGCCAGTTTGTCGGTTTATGACAACCCTAGCGACGTTTATAATTTACACTCCCAATTAATCGTCGAAAAGCAAAGGTTACAATCCAAGTACCAAGATATGATGCTGCAATGTCAACTGGACGATTTGATAGGAAATTCCGTAGTTGTTTTCAACTTTGATACCTTAAAACAAGCGTTGGCGGGTATACATGTTGGAGAATCGATTGTTTCTCAAACATCCAGCAATGGTGGTAGATTGGCCAATCATGCAATGGCTTCGCATAATCCTATACTGTTCCTTGCAAATTATTGTATGTCGCAATTGTACACGAGACATCTCGTTAAGCAACACATGCAAAATGGTTCGATCGAGTATCACCCAAGTATGATGGGCCCGCAACAAGCTCCACCTGGATCGGTTCACGTTCATCAAGGTCCTCCTCCGCCATCTCAAAACAATCAACAGCAGCAATCACAATCTCAACAGCAGCTTTTAATCCCACCTGGTTCGCCGTCCGTGAAACCCGTTCCACCTGCTCCACAGAATGCTATGTTGCATCCGCAACAACAATCAACGTTTATGTCAGAGGCAGTTGGCGCTAGCGGGACAAGTCTGGTAACCGTCCATTCATCTCCCCAACCACCGTCCACGGGAATGGCGGCGTCTCTTCGTGGCCCATCCAACCCCTATCCGCTGTATTACTTCAATATCGAGGTCAATGGATCTCCTCACGGCCGTATAGTTATCGAAGTTAGACCGGATGTCGCACCAAAGATGGTGAAGAATTTTAGCATGTTAGCAACCGGAGAAGTTGGACTTGGTTACAAGGGATGTACCATATTTCAATGCTGGGAAGGAGAGTCCGTAATAACGGGAGACTTCGAGCTTAACAATGGCCGAGGAGGAAGAAGCATATTTGAAGATGGCTACTTCATGCCGGATGACACTAAGTTTCCAGCGGTCAGAGGTACCGTAGGAATGAGAAGAACGCAGAAACGTCACGACAACCTTGGTATGGTGGGCTCACAATTTCGAATCATACTACAAGAAATGCGAGGATTTACGGGAATCTTCGGCCACGTCGTGGAAGGGCTTGAACTAGTTGAAAAGATATCAACGTTTGGTGATCAGACTGGCAAGCCTACTAAGAATATTCTAATTACGAACTGTGGTAAATTGTAACGGCTTCTCCATTACGTTTGGTACTGAAGGGTAACGAATACCTAATCATACCTTACGTTCTTTCCCGTTCTAGATAAACTAAAGGGAGAGTGTTGCGACAGTGTCACCAAGAGAAAACCAAAAATAGCAAACGAAACACGGGCTTCTTATGCATATTGATTTTTTTTTGTCTGATCTGGGTTGGGGTCGGTATACGTCTTATCGAGGATAATATGTATGGAGAATAACGCGCGTATATACGTAATATCTAACGGAAAGATATTATGTCTCCATACGTAAATTCTAATTGGAGGACATTGTCGCAACATATAGTTTAAAACAAATCGCGATGCTTCGTATGAAATCACACAACTTAATTAACTATTTACAATAGAATCTAAAGATGTTGAATAATCTATTTTTAAACGTGGACGTGTTAGAGATGATTGATGCTGCTACTACTAAAAAATGATGATGATAATGATAAAAAAAGATAAAAGAAAGATTAAAAAAAAGAAGAAGAAGAAAAAATAAATATCCATATTTTGCTATTGATTGAGAATCACGAAGATTCTATGTCTACAATAACGACGTTGATCGAAACATACGTACCTCAGATCGATCGTGATATCGATACGACTTCTAGCTGTACGGTATTTGTTTTAGAAGAGTTTCAACATTTATTTTTGGCTATAAGCATATATTGCTACTACGTATAGTTTATAGAGCGTGTCGCACGTTGCGGAGTGAAAAAAGTCACGTGGTAAAAATGTAAGTGGAAGAAAAAAAGAAGAAGAAGAAGAAGAAGAATAAGAGAACGTGACAGCAAAACTTCGGCGTGCGCTTCTAATGTCTTAGGTCGTAGATAGTATAAAATCGTATAAAAATCGTATAAAATCGTGTGAACGGGAAATAACTATGAAATCTGATGATCTTTTTTTTCTCTTTTTTTGGAGAGGGGGGGGGTCTATTTTTATGTTTCCTTGGATGCGAACACGTGCTTACGTGTGTGTATTTTCTATGTACGTACACACGTATACACGTGAATAAAAAAGAAAGCACATTAAGGTCGGGGTTTATAAAATAAGGGTCGAAAGACGCGCTTAACTTCGAATTATTCGGTAACTGTGATTCCGTACGCAGGATCGTTTTAGAAGTTAAAAACAAAAAAAAATAATAGTAACAAAAAAAAAAGAAGAAGAAGAAATTACTGAACGATACGTAGCCAAGTAAGAAGACTATTCCGTTTAGTCGTCTTATAAACGATCGCGTATCGTTCCATTCCGAAAGGAAGAGAAAGAAGCCAAAAGGGAAAGAAAAGCAACCAAAAGAAATTATTTTTAACGTATACGTTTTTCCTCAGGGAAGGGAATAATATTACAAACAAAAAAATTTCGTCAGGTCTCATCGAGAGAAATGTGTTCCAAATGTTTATTCCCTTTTTGCTCTTTCTGTCGACTAATTTAAGTCGTCGTAAATTAAAGTGTATTTAAGTTTAGATCTCAAAATGCAAATGTATACAAGGCCTAACTACTACTATGTAGACCGTAAGCCTCATCGTCTGATGCAGAAGACAAAACGAACGGAATTTAATGGATACATACGTACAAACACACGGCCATGCATACGTATACACGCATACATTCGATTACACACACACACAAAATAATACACACGTTAAACGAAATCATTCCTCGATACTGTATATCGAAGTATTACGATAATGTAATGCGTTATAGTATTCGTTTAAATCCCACGTAAAAAGAACAAAAAAAAAGTCCCATCGTTATATATCGTACTATCTCGTGTAAAACGTGTGCGAGCGACGCGTTTCTAAAGAAAAAAAAGAAAAAAAAATATATATATGAAGAAGAAAGTGTAAGAATGAAATGTGCGACTTTAAAAAAAAAAAAAGAAATGGCAAGGCACATTAATCTCACACGTATATAGGTATATACATATATGCACGCCTTCGTCGTCGCGGTTGCCTTTTTTGAAGAGAGCCTCATTCGATGTTGAACTTGAAAGTTTTAACACTTGTTGATTAGCTGAATAATGCGTCGCGTGCGATAGAAACGCATCATCGCGGCGACGAACGAAATGTAAGAATTGCCGTTTTAGAATAATTACATGGAAAAAAAAAAAAAAGATAAGAAATTACACGTATACAACACACAACAACAAAAAAGAAACTACAAACAAGTAGACAACAAACACGCACGCACGCATACACATACATACGTATACAAAATGAACACAAAAAAAAAAAACAAAAATACGTACGACGATAAGGAGGGTGCTCGTGCTCTCGCGTAAACTTTTCTCGTTTCGGTGCAAGAAAACAAAGCGAAAACCGAATAATAGTATAGACACATTTTTTTTTCTCTTTCTCTAATATAAGTGAGAAAAAACATACGTAAAACAAAGTTCGTATATATATATATATATATGTATCACCGAAACGAGCAACGCTTACAAATTCATCTCTATATACACAAAATGAAAAAAAGAACAAGAAAAAAATGAAATAAAAAATATTCCAACGCGCGCGTATATATACTACATATATATTTTTATGAACGTGATGAGGTAACAACGCATAGCTTGTAATATCGATCTTAAACGACCGACATTGGTTTATTCGCCCCTCGCGTTCGAATTAAAAACGATTGAGCGGCTATAACTCTTATTAAGTTTTTCCTCATGAGTCTTCGAATTCCTTCTCCTAATTCTATTTACTTTACCCCATTATCCTTCTTTATAATTTCATTCTTTTCTACCTATTCTTTCCTCTCTCTCTCTTTCTCTCTCTCTCTCTCTCTCTCTACCCCTCTCTCATTATTTTTCTATTATGTTAAGACTTAATAAGCATTATTAAAAAAAAAATCGAAAAATTTTGTTTATAGTCTACGGTAAACGTATCCGTAAAGTTCTTCGCTTAAACCATTTTATTATTTCATTATACATGCGTACGAGATGAACGTTCGTTACCCAACTTAAATGTAATTTTAATCGATAAATTGAGTTATAAACTATTCCTTTCTTTCAAAACTTTTCTGCGTAATTTTGAATACACCATTCCTTTACCTACCTCCAGAAGAACAACAACGTATACGCAGATACGATTGTGCGAGCGAGACAAGTCTTTAAGGGTATAAAATTAATTGTTAGGAATCAAGAGAAAGAATATCACTTACCTTGTAGAAGACATCTGGAACATATTGCTTATCGGTTGATTCGATTACATAGCCCAGTTCCGGTGCATCTTTCGTTGGCACCAAACAGTTATCGCGTACCAGCGCAGAACATTGATTTGATACTTGATAGCCTTCCATGTGAACTTGATTTTTATCATCTCCTGTAAATAGTATCCATAAAATTATTATTGAGCACATGTAGCATAAAAAATATTTTTTGGTGTTACAAGTATATGATAATGGTAAGCATATAATATTCTTTGAATTTACCTGTGACACAAACAGTTACGAATTTAGAACCATAATAACCACTGGGTGACAAACGACAAGGATTAAGAAATTGATTTTGGAAGTACCCTGCCATAATACACTCTTGCGCCGATAAGAAATGGCTCTCTATATTTCGGACATGTTTCACCTAAACACATAATGAATTATGTATATTATAACTTTTTATCATGACTAATAATTTTGTTATGTTATGAAATGTGCCATGGCTACGTGTAATGTACCGTTCCTTTCTTCACATCGTCGGCTATGAGATCCGTGAAAATCCATCCTATTTTTTTTAAGTTGAGAGATCGAGCTAATTCATTAACTAATGACTCTTTTTCATCTGGCAAAAGTTGTATAGAATCCTTTGTACTTTCCTAAAAATCAACCATTTATGTATCGATTATTACATTATTTTTATTGCATAAATAGACGTTGAATCGATATTATTTTGTTTTCTAATATATTATACTTACTTGCGGAGGTTCATATATAGCCGCAACAACTGCTCTAATCCCTAATGGTACATCTGTATGCATTTCATATCTTCCGTATAAATAACCAATACGTTGATGACCAGTACTTCTCCAATAATTCAAAAAACGTTCAACTAAACTAGGATTCTCAAACATGACATTGTCTACGTGACGATAAGTTTGACGATTCAACGTAATAGAATTAGGTTGACACTTGCTACAAATACCTCTAGGCCATGGAGGATGATCTTTGCAACCAGTCTTTACTCGGCAGCATATGTCGTCTAATTGTAAAAATTTGCCCCTAAAAAAAATAATAACACAAATAAAATTCTATATAATCTTACATTTTATAATACAGAGTTTACCTATCGACTCCGGCAGTGAGTTTCCTAAGAAACGAATGAAAGGATAAATGTTTAATATTTTGTTCTTTCATATAAACTTCGTCAAAGGGTTCCAAAGGAGAGCAGTGTACACAACATCCCTTTGCACTATGACGGCAACTGTGTACAAAAGAAAAAAGAAATATATATTATTTTATATTTTTTGTCTTATTAAAGATATATACAAGATTTTTTATTAACTTACAGTTTTTCATCACGTTTTCTTTGTATCTTCCCATCCAATTTCCACAATTGTTCATCTACTTCATCTTCAACTACATTTGGCAGGCTACGAAGCGCACCCATCACATTTGAATTTTGCACAATACGGTTTGTATTGCTTCCTCCATCGTTCAATCCTATTTGATATTTCAAATATTAGTAGATTGTTTATATAAAACTATATACTTATAGATACTACAGGGTTCAAACCTGCAGAAGAAATATGTGAATTATTACTAGCGGATGGAGTATTCCAAAGTTGTGCACCATTACATGGCACAAGATAGAGCATATCACCATGCGAAAGACCTGTTTCCAACAGTGTTTTACTGCGAGTACTTATAATTTCATCTTGACGATTTCTTTGCTTATATAGTCCAAAGGTAAGACTATTCAAATTAAAAGCAGTAAACACCTGAAAGAATACAAAGCAATAAAAGTTTTAATACTTGTTTAAGTACGAAAGAATTATTAAAGATTAAAAAGATGTTCGATAAGTAATACTAACTTTTTCAAAAAGTGTGAAGACAGAATCCGATAAACAAGCATCTACTCGCTTAGTTCCTTCTGATGATTGCACTCGCAGTGTCTAAAAAGAATAATAAAATGTATATTAATAAAAAGATTTTATTTGCAGAATAATTGAAAATTCTTAAAATAGATGGAACAGAAATGATGATACCAATAAATTTTCTCTGCATATATTTTTTTAAAACTTTTTAATAAAATTTATACAGAAATCAAATATTTACATTTAAAAATATTTGAAATCTAAGTAAACGCGCGCGCGTAAACATATTTAAGGTAAATCCGTGAAGAATGAGTAGGCAGAATAAAAAAGGGGGAAAAAAAATAAAAAAAAAAAAAATTTCAGATCCCAAGATGACACAAGGTTTCGGAATTTCTAATACGTTACTGTAATAATACCGCGTGCTTATGATCACTTTTTAACTATATACGAAAAAGTAAATAACCGTTAGGTCATAAAAAATGGGCGAGAGAAGAAAATGAGTTAAAAGTATCGGTTGATTATCTAGGAATATTAATAATTAATCTAAAATGGACTTACGATTTGCTTTGATTTTGACATTTCGCCGGTGTTGAGTAAAACATCAGCTGTTCAATCCGTTGTTCCACTTGCCTGTGCGAACACAAAGAAAGAAAATTCCCTAAGGAGACGCGAAAAAATTGTCGAGTCAACGTTCGATACCCTAACCTCTTGGCGCTCTCTCGTTTAAGGATTTAGTCGTTTTTCGTTAGAGATTTGAAAGGTATTATCTTTTGTAAGAGCGTTTAATCTCGATTAATCTTCCTCTATTAAATTCACCTTTGTGTGTGTTTAAAGAAGAAAATAATAGTCCTGTTAGACGCACTACGTTGAGAGGAAAGAAAGCCCGCGTTTCAATGCACGTCCCCGTCCAAAGAACCAAAGGAGCAACGATCGTCACCAAACGGTTACCGTCCTGCTACTGTCAGCGCTAATCGTACACAGCAGCCATCACGATGACGGATAGAAAAGAGGTAAATCTTATACAAAATGATTCACGATTTACGTACAATTTACACTTTTTTCTTCTTATATATTCATATTTTTAATCAACTTATCAAAAACACCCAATATTTTTCTTCTTTATTACACTTTTTGTCGATAGAAAAAGGTTCTTTCAGCTTCTTGATCTATCGATCTTTTCAATTCTCGTTTTTGCAAATTTGCCAGCCATGCTTCTTCGTTTGTTTTATCTTTTTCTTCGTCAGATTAATTCGCAACTCCGTGAGAGTATGCAACCCTCGTTACCGATCGGTAGATATGTTATCGGACTATAGGTGCTCGCTCATCGACGATGTTTCCTGTTTATTTTTTTTTATCGTTTATTTTTACTCGTTTCCTTTTTAACTTTGAGAAGAAACAAAGAAGAGGAATCAAATAATACACCTATCACGTTCGACTCTACTTTATCGTTCGTTGCCCCTTTTCTCCCTTTTTGTTGCACCTTTTTTCTTCCCTCTTTTTGGCTTTTCACTTTCTCACATTTCGATCCTTAAGTCATATTCACACTGTTCGAGTATACAACTTTCAACATCGAAGATTTTTATTTTAAAATGATAAGAGATTGATCTTTTAACTCTGAAACATTATATTTGCTCGTCCGATCTAAATTTAATTTTAAATCGTTGAATAATTACTTACTATGTTGAGTTATGCGTATTTTAATCTGAACCATTCGGATTTTGAGTATCGTTTATTCATTATAAATATATTTACTGTCACAACACGAGATCACATATAATAATCTTTCATTTACATATCCTTTAAACCGCATTTTACGAACAATTACGCGATTCATTAACCGAACGATTACCTTCCATCGGAAAGAAAAAAAGAACTGACAAGGATGATGCAACGTTCTCCTTTAAACTCGAATTAAGTGGCAATGCTCGTTGAATGGTCGTGTCTTTCGAAGCTGGTCAAGGCCACGGTAACGTCGCTTGCCAATCACCAGGTGATCGTACGACCTTTGATTATAAATAAAGCGGACATTGACGCATCATATCCTTGAATCAAATATATATTAAGGAACTACACAACACGATCCATTTCCTGTGATCAATGAAATGTCGTAAACGTAAGGGTTGAATTGATGTCAGGTAAAGAGTAATTTTCTGTTATACAACGCGTAATCAAGAAATTGAATTTTTATTATTGAGGATAGCATTTTATTATTACAACATTATAATAAAAAAGAAAAATAATAACTTGAACCCCATTGGATGCAGTTAATGTCACGTAAACATTAGTTTATCATTATCTAACATTATAAAATCATTGTAAGGGAAAAAGGATTGATCGATCGATCGATTGATCACTGGTAACTAGGAATGAGTGATCATTCGTTGGCCGTGGCATTGACACGTTCGATAGTTTTTTTTTCGAAGCACGAGGTCGCATAGTTATTGGCAGAGGTGCCGGCAGAGGTAGATACTTAAGTAAAAAGATAGGAAGGTAGGTAATAGACAGGCGCTGCCTTCGCGCGAGATGACCCTCTTACCTCTTTACCGTTTCTTCCTGGCAAGAACGACTATCGCGCCGTAACGCCGTTCGTACGGTCGTTCGAGAAGATTTCAGTTGTGAGGTCAGTTGCATTTGCTAGCAGACCAGTAGCCATCTAGCGAGAGCCGGAAATCGTAGGTTCCCAGCTCGTTCGAATCTAACAAAACTCTATTTCTCTCACATTATCTTTTTTATATTTTTCTAAAACTTTCATTTGTCTTCCTTCCTACCTTCTACCTACCACTTTATCAATTTTTCTATCCTCTTATATTTTTGTCCTTTCATTTTCTATACGCGCAAGGTTTTGTGTAAGATCGATTTCTATCCACCCTCGAGGTGGATCCGAGGGATCAATTAAATCCACCTGTTAACGGATCGCCGATAGATCCGAGAACGGAAAGGTAAGAAGATGACGTCTAAAACCGTTCCTCCGGATTGCTTAAAAAAAAAGAAGAAAAAACCATCATGAAAGTATCCTAACGCTTGATCCTTTCAAACTTTATTCTCAAACATAGATATATATTTGATATCTTTCGCGTTTGATTTCATGATCAATAATCATTAATCATCATTGATGTTTCTCGAACGTTCAAATGAACAAGTCACCGCGCAAATGTAGCGGACATCTTGAATAAGTCGGAAGTCAGGTGTTCGAAGGGTGACTCGCGAAGTTTAATCGCGTCTTTCACAATCGATACTGGTTTATCGATCTTTCGTAATAATAACAAAAAAGAAAAATATATTCTATTGTGAACTGTATTAATGATAATAACAATAAATGATTAGATAGACAATTAGTAGTGAATTTTGATTATTTTACACAGGTCTGCGGCGAAATGGATAACACAGATGATGATCTAAGGACAGCAGTCGAGTTGTATATATACGATTTATCAAAGGGTATGGCAGCAATGATGTCTAATATGCTGATAGGTAAGCTTAATCGATGAACTAACGATTAACTTGTCTTGTTGTTTTTTCAAAGTATAATTTATATACTCGCAAATCGATACTCATCACGGATTATGAATCATAGGATGATATCTTTGTTTCGATTCAATGACGATCGCTCATTGCGTAGGCGTGTCAAGTTGGATACGAAAAAGACGCGGACGAAAAGCTATGTAAATACGATGTTAACAAATATTCTCTTTGTGACGTTAGCGAACGCGTGGAATCCAAATTTAGTTGAATCCAATGCGATATGCAATCGAATTGAAAAAGACTGAATCGTAGTATCTTATTTTTGAGATTTCACATTATTTACATCAATTATTTTCGATCATTCGATTCAATTACGTTCATTAACTTTTGTTCACTATCACGATAATGTATTTTATTAATATAACTTTCGTGTTATTTTCCTAATGTATTCTTTCGTATTCGAATAAAATGTAAATACAAAATTACGAGAAAAGAAAAAGATTCGTCTTGCGATCGTTGTTTTTTGGAATAACTATTGCGTAGAGTTTATTCCGTAGAAATTATTCCGATCGTACAATAGCAAATAATTTTGAAACTTCGTTGATATAAACTATCGTTAAAATATATACCGTTCGTTCGATGGTAATAGATAATAGAATCTTCAGAAAAGCGGCATGCAGTCTCTCTTCTAAACGAAAAATTCGGGCGTCACGTGTTTGAAATTCATTCGCCATGCTTACACGAAGAGATCTCGCGGATCTATTTTAAATCGCATTCGCCGTAATTACTCGCGAAGATTCTTTAGGATAACTAGAATTGGCATAGATTCTCGTGTACTTATGTTATTTATATTCGCACGTGCATATCTATGCATTTATCGAGATTAAAATTATACAAAAGATAAAAAAAAGTAATCCAATAATAATATTGATAAATAATCGATGATAAGAAATGATCGATGATTATATCAAATGATCTTTCTTATCAAATTCTATGCGTGCAAATTAATAATGTTGTTTTAATCGAGTTAATATCGTGTGTACCATTTAAAATCTTAAAACCTAATATCGTTTATAAATTTTCCACATGAATAGAAATACGTATGAACGCATATACAATACATATATAAGCGTAAACTGGCATGTTCTTTTGATAAATCTATCAAACGTTATGTTCGTAAAACAAATTGGCAGTGATTTATGATCTCTCGTGGTAGGAGTGAAGGCGTTTTATTAAAAAGAGAGAACAAAAATGTCTTACCGTGATGTAAAAGGGTTGACGGGTAAGAAAAACGAATATTACATCTGACGAATTTTCCTGTTCAAGCCCAGCTAAGACTGTACTGTAATAAGAATATCGTGAACGCTAATAGTTATTTCCGCGTTAAGAAAGTAGGTCGAAGGAGAACGACTATTCGGCTTGGGATTTCGTCTCGAGGTTTCGTCTTCGAAATGACTCTGGTGCATATTTCGGTTTACGAGCGAACACCGGTGGACCTTAGAGATGAGAGCAAAAATTAACTACTTGTAGATCATGTCTTCCAACTTTGAAATATATTCGCGTTCGTCCTACCGGCAGCCAATTTTTTTGTTTCTCTGATCTTCTTTGGGAAGATTCCGATCAAATTCAATGCCCTTGTAAAAACAAAAAATTCATAAATAAATAAATTCAATATGATGGATTTTTGTTAATCCTTATATCATATTCGCAGGTAGACATTTGGAAGGAATATGGCATACGGGGATCGTTGCTTATGGTAGAGAATACTTTTTTGGTCCAGCTGGAATACAAAGTGTCAGGCCTGTAAGTATAATAACAAATTTGCGAAATCTTACTAACAATAAAATTACCTCCTGTATCCTTTATACTTACAATATTTAGCATTGCAAATAATTGGCAAGATGCCATTAATAAATAAAATAAAAATAACCTATGGTCTATGGACAAATAAATGTTGTTCTCCTTTATGCATATTCATGCACAATACGAACGAGTACTTGCTCAATTGCGCACAATGTTTTCGAATAGTAAATTAACGTTTTCTATCTAATTTTATTTTAAATCTCTTCAAGTTTAACTATTTTACTTACGAATTGTAAAACATCCCAGAAAATTTTAGTCCAATTTATTATTTCAATAGATTTGAGTTTATTTTAAATGAGTGAGTAATTTATTTTTATTTGCAAACGTTCATCTCATTCAAATTGGTTTGTTCGTATTTTACGTATGTGGCTTTTCCTAAGAACGAGATGCATTGGCTCGTCGTTGGCACGTAACATAGCTATCATCGTAGGGCCCAATCGTAGTAACTTGTCACTCTGGCCATATGATACGCTAGAGACGAGCAGGTACTAAATTTGGTCTGGTCGAATCTAAAAATAATTTTCGCTTTGGTTTACACACGAACGCGTCCTCTCTCTCTCTCTCTCTCTCTCTCTCTCTCTTTCTCTGTCTCTCTCTTTCTATCGCTCTCTCTTTTTCTTACATACACTTTCACTCTCACTCTGATACCTCTTTCTCGTTCTATGTTTTACGGTTCTGACTCTACGGAGACGAAAGCATCGCCAAGTTCGTTCATCTACGTCCGTACTAACTTGTTCCCACGTTGTGCAGAAGAATTCATTGCTAGCGCGTTTAACGCATTTCTTAAATAGTGTGCTGCTTCGATTAACCATAAGAGTGATAACTTACTAAGCGCGAAAATATTTTGAAGAATAACAATGAAGGATATTAAGAAAGAAGAAAGCTAACGGGGCAGATCAAATTTCGTCCTTTTTTTGTATGTATTCAGTTTTAAATAATGTGTGCTTTTATCTTTCTCTTTTTGAAATTCGATTAATCTCAATTGTCCCGTCATTTTATCCCGTAAATTTTTCCTCAAGGTGGTACAATTTTCATTCGAGGGTGTTACAAATTTGTAGCAAACGGTGTAGTAAATTTTAGAAAAGTTTTTCATGAGTTTGCTGATAAATTAAAAGATAATCATTTCTATTTATCTTATCGATGTGGTGTTTCTAAAATTTTATATTTTAATTATCATTGCTTTTAAACGTGCATATACAATTATGCATATAATTATTTTTGTATACTTTATTTAACTTGTTAACGTGGATGAAAAGGAAGACAAGAAAAAGAAAATTCCCCCCAAAAAAAAAACAAAACAGTATGCAATGTTATATCACGCGTTATAATTTATCTCACATTTTTCACCACTTTCTTCCGCCTTTTTCCGTCCTTAGCTTTTCATGCCACTAACGCTCATGAATCTGACGCGCGCGTTAGCAAATAGTTATTTTGAGCGTTTCACGTAGGGAAGCGTGGATTTGTCGTCGTTCTAAAATTACGTCTGCACTCTCTCTCTCTCGTGTATCGAAGATAGAGAAAGAGTAGGAGAATTGCAGAGAGAGAAAGAGTAGGAGAATTGCAGAGAGAGAAAGAAAGAAATTCGTGGCTCATGCATCGAGAGACGAAGAGCCAGTTTGAGAAATTGACATTGACGGGATCTGGAAGGAGTCTTGTCTTTCTTTTCTCACGTATATTCAACAAATACATTTTCGGATAATAATTACAGGGTGGTACGCATTTGCGCGAGCCGCAAAAAGTCGAGAAGATTGGTGAAACTTATCTACCCTATTCTGTTTTCCTTGAATACATCAACGGCCTGGGAACATCCACATTTGCGTGAGTGTTGTCTCGATTGCGTTTTCTTATCATAATAATATTTGCGAGAGAATGGTGTCGGTGTTAGAGATTTCATTGAAAAAAAGGAAAAGAAAAAGGAAAGAAAAAAAAAAAAGCAAGACAAATCTTTTTCAGACCGGGTACGTATAATCTCTTCAAGCACAACTGCAACACTTTCACGGAAGAAGTTAGCAATTTTCTGGCGGGAACAGGAATTCCTAAATACATCCTCGATCTTCCGGAAGAGATATTACAAACGTGAGTCGGATCGAAAACGAACTTTCAATTTTATATATTATGATTACATTAATCGATTTGATCATTTATCCGATGTTCACTTAATAGAATATACTTCCAAGTATATAGACAAATTTGTATAATTTTTCTCTAACACAAGTTTAAAAGTAATTACCTCAATCACATTTAGGCCAATTGGACAAGCGTTAGGACCTTTGATAGAAAGTTTAAGTAGCAACGCAAACGCAGGTTTCACGGTAGGCCAAAGATTCGTTGAAGCGAGAATCGACAGGGAGGCTTCTCCAGAATACCAGCTTTTGAATACAGCAATCGAGGAGGCGAGGTACGCTTTATCTATCACTTTATTCGAAATTTAATCGAATCTAACGACAGATATTAAATGTTAGATTGAACTCGATCGCGTTAGAGGAAAGGAGAAACGTGATAAACGAGAAGCTCGCTAAGAAGGATAGGAAGAAGAAAAAGAAGAAGAAGGAAAAGAAGGAAAAGAGTAGCAAAGATAGCACAGGAAGTGACAATAATAGCACAGGGCCCAGCAATTGCGCGGACATGGCGGAAAGCGAGGGTGAGGATTTATATTTTTGTTTTTGTTTTATTTCGTTTTTTGTAATCCTATAAGATTTTTCGAAATCGTGTGTTGGAATAATTGAAAAGAAATAATAATTGTAGGTGCAGTTAGCGAGATGCAAGCGACGAACGGTGCAACGATGGAAATGTTACCGTCCGATAGGGTAATGCAAATGGAGGAAGAAGAGAAACGGGAACAGGAAGAGAAGAAACGGCAACGTGATCCTCCTATAGTATTTAAAGACACGGTCGATGTAAAAGCGGAATACGAGACGTTAGTCAACTGTCTAGAAGGAAAATTAAACGACGAGGAGAGAACGTGTTTGACCGAGCTTCGACAATACGTTCTAGAGAACGAAGGTTCTTGGGCCTTGGGAGATTATTTTTTAAATTTTGTCGGTAAGCCCTCATACCCATGGATTTCTGATTTATTTATTGAAACGATCAATCAAATCTAAGGATAAATTGAATGAAAATATTCTTTTTCATTGTTCATTAAATGTACAGGACGCATACTTTACGACAAATCCTTAACAACCGAGGCAAGGGTGAAACTTCTCAACGTTCTTTCCGTTGCCGCTTTGAAAGACGACGTGATTCTTCTTTTGCATCAAGATAGAAGGGAACATATTCTCATGAATTATGCCTTCGATATAGATCGTCATCCTCCGGAAGAACAATTACCGCTTGCCGAATTTGTAAGCATTGTTATTTCTATAATTATTATCATTAATATAATATAATGGTAATATAATATAATGATATATAATGAAAATACTACATAACATAATAAGAGACAAATTTCTATTCTAGTTGGCGAACATGTTTGAGAATCTGAGCAGTTCCGAGTGGTTACTTTACATATCCGAATGGCAACATCACAATCAAAGTATCAGCAACATAAGAGTGACAACGAAGGTTGCTGTCCACTCCTTGCTATCCAATTCATTCGAGTTGCAAACCCGTGGTGCTGCCATTATCCATAACTTAGCCTGCAAGGAGGTAAAAACTGTGGTCTGTATCCTTCCTGTTCGATTAACCATCGTTCAAAAGGACGATGCTTTGTGCTCTTTTAATTTCTTCCCTATTTATTCTAAAAAAAATTATAAATATACATGTTATAAATATCTTTATGGTCATCCATTTAACCATCATAATCTTTATCATTTTAATCATCGGCCATACGATGATTACCGATCAATTAATTATCGGAAAGAAAAAACACCGCTAAGAATAATACTAATACATGACAATTGGTAGACGTATCGACGCCAAAGCTAAATAAACATGCTTCTTTTGTTGATTTATGCTAATCGCTAAATAAACGCTTCTTCGTTTATCGAAAAAAAAAAAAAACATAAAATATTTACACGCGACGCGTTTGATCTTCTCCAATCAACAACGATTGTCTTCGTTTAATGGCATGTACAATGTACATACGAGTATATATATATTCAATCATGGTTCCTTTTGGTCTAGGATAACGAAATATAATTAAAATTTAACGTCTTCCCTTAATTTTCATCTCGACAAAATCCTCATATCGTATATCTTATGTATTGTGCTTCGTAATACGAGATAACACCTCAACTAGCTCGTAACGTAACTCTCCGTAATGAATGCGATGCTGCGAAAACAGTTCAGTTGATGGATACCTTCCCAGAGATCGGCTACTATTTTTTCAGAAAATGAACAAAAGCAAAAATCTGCGGCGACTTTTACCAAAAGGCAGCATTTCTAAGGTACCTATTTAATAAAATACGTACATAAGATGCGTACCTATTCGAGCATATCTCGAATTCGTTGCAGTGAGTCAATAGCGATTATAAAAAAAAAAAAATTAAAAAAAAAAAGAAACAAAAAAAATATAATAAAAATAACAAGGTATCCATAAAAGTCTTACGACTTAACTTAAAACGTTTACTATCTAATCGCTTAAATTAAACGATATAACATCTTCTTACAATGATAATGATCGTAGGTATTTGACGATGTCGCCATTGAACTTACAATGGCTTTGCTGCAATATTTCAACGGAAGTCCAGCAGAAGAACAGCTTTACGCGTGTATGAAGTCCTTGGCGCGTTTCACACAAATCAGTGGACAGGATGTACCCCAATTGATACAGATGATCGGACCAGAACCAAACAAATTTCGTGGAACTTCTGAGAGAGTCGACGAACTGATCGATCAAGTCAATAAGAAGCTACGTTGAGGTATAACTTGCCATTTCTTCGCGATCAAAATCTTTTTATTCCAAATAGGATGATGTATAAAACGAGTGTTGTTGACTGACAGCTAAATAAGATGAATTTTTACATAGAGATTTTATTTTAAGCATCTACGTGCTTTTATAATAATACTTATTATTACTATTATTATTATTATTATTAATGTTATTGTGTAAATTGTTACCTCTATTATTATTATTACAAATTATTATTAAATTATTACTAATATATTGCTACAGCTAATATTGCGATTATTTTTTATATGAAAATTAATGTTTTATCAAAATTGTGTCTATTTACGTTTCTCTATATTTAATTTTCTTTTTTTCTATAATTTATTTTTATTTTGGAATCGTACGAAATCCAAGTTGAAAATTACGGTATTATAAAGCAACGTTAGGCGACAGAACATTTATACGCATATGTAAGTGGGTTACTACCGTTGGCACGCATAATCTTTTTGTAAGTCTCTAGCATCTTATCTTTTTTTGTTGCCACATATATATATATATATATATATATGTATATATGTGCTTCTACTCGTACTAGTTAATTCTTACTCGAATGACAAAAAGAAGGTCTTTCCAATTAATTTTCAATTTCTTATCATTTTACCAAATAATCGTTATACGATACATAAATTCTACGTACATGTATATAAATAAAAGTATATATAAAATTTTTAAGCAATACAAATAAAAAAGGCAGAATGGCACTTGATTGATTGTATATAATATAATCTTTAACATTGACAAAATTAAAATTAGATATGATCATATACAAAGTTAAGAATGGGCACCAAGTATACTTCATTCGATAATGCTAAGTAAATATATAAATGATATTTTGGAAAGAGAAAAATTTTAAATGAACATGTTTGCTCTCTTTATTCTAATCGATTATTTATTTTAATAATAACGATAAAAATGTTTGAGGATAAAAGGATTATATTTAAATATTTGATGAAAAAGATTAATGACAGATATAAAAAAGACATTAAATTAATAGAAAAAAAAATAGTATATCGCTTAATGTTCCTTATCTGTTTTAATTGACGTTTTAAGAGTTACGAATATTCGAATAGATAAAGAAAATCATCGTATATCGTGGTAATTGTCGGTTTAAGAAAGAGAGAAAAATTAGTCGATAGAACGGCGTTAATGACTAGAATTATTAATGCCAGCTCAAGGTTTTCCTTATTTTTAAATATTTTTATCACTGTGTCAATACACAAGAGAGCTACCAGCGAAAAAGAAATACAAAGGAAAAAAACATTGATGCTCATTAACGAAGAAAAATAATAATATGCTCTATCAGGAATGAAGAAGATGACGTTTACCTACAGCTTTACGAATAGGTTTGGTGATAAGGATTTGAGAAGACATGAATGATATCTACTTATAAAGTGAAATATGGAGCTATTCGTATTTCTGCGTTTGCCAGATAAGCACTCTTCCGTCGCACGTTACTCCTTCAACGGAAAGATTGATCATTCAAGGAGTAGTTGAAAGATCCGAATCGCGTCAAATTTTGAAATGCGTTAACACTTGTCGCGATATCTCTTTCAGTTCGTATATCCCCGATATACACAAACAGCAATGTCAGTGCCTAGGAAGGATTCAATTCTCGCAGATGATGCTAAAAAGAAGAAAAAAAAGAAGAACTTTAGTGATAACTTCAGCAAATATTTGTTGATATTACAATGGCTTCCAAAGTACACTCAATTTCAAGCTGTATCCGATGTAATAGCCGGTATTACAATAGGACTCACCATGATACCACAAAGTATCGCTTATGCTGCACTAGCTGGATTAACTGCTCAGGTATAACTGTTATCCAATTTTTTGTTTAATGCGAAAAAGAATAAAAGGAATGTGAAATCAATTATCGTGTAAATTTACAGTATGGCCTTTACTCCGCGTTTCTCGGTGGTTTTATATACGTTCTACTTGGAACAACCAAAGAAGTTTCTATTGGACCTACGTCCTTGATGTCTCTCTTAGTGATGGAATACACGCATGATATGCCAACAGATTTTGTTGTACTCCTTACATTCTTGGCAGGATGCGTAGAATTAGCGATGGGTTTATTAAATTTAGGCTGGTATTCCTAGTGTATACAATTTCTTAACGTTTCAAAAAATCTTCAAATATCAAACATCAGAAAATCTTCTATTTTAATTGATAGATAATATAAATGTGTGCAGGTTTTTTGGTGGACTTCATTTCCATCCCCGTTACATCGGCATTCACTTCGGCAGCGGCAATAATTATAATCGTAGCTCAAATTCAAGGTCTTTTAGGTCTAAGATATAAATCGCATACTATAGTCGATACCTTAAAACAAACATATAATAATATAGAAAACGTACATCTACCCGATATAGCATTAAGTTTTTCCTGCATAGTATTTCTTTTACTTTTCAAGGTAAGTTATCTCATACGAGGATATTTTATTTTTGATAACGTACTCTTGTTAATTTTTGCATATTAAATCTAATATGAATTTTCGTAGAATCTTCAAAAATTTCGAAACAAAAGTGGTAGCAACAAAATAACAAGGATAAAAAAGATATTATGGTTTTTTTCCATTGGACGTAATGCTCTTATCGTCTTGATAACATCTATTATATCGTTTAATTTAACAACGCCGGAATCTTCTCCATTTACTCTTTCAGGTTGTCATGATTTTATGAGAATTTTCTTGGAAATAAAGTCCTTTTATTTATTTACTTTTTCTTTGTCTTTTTGTTTGCTTGTTTGTTTTGCGAATGCATTTTATAGGAAAAGTTAAACCCGGATTACCTGCTATGTCTTTACCGCCCTTTTCATCGCAGATCGGAAATCGTACATACACATTTTTCAATATGTGCTCGCATTATGGATCTGGCATACTTATGGTACCAATTATCGCGGTCTTGACTAACGTGGCGATTGCAAAAGCCTTTGGTAGATAGAAACAATTAACTTCTCTTTTTTTTTTATCGTTGTCTTCGAAAAAGGAACTAACTTGTTCGATTTTAGCAAGTGGTAACTCGTTAAATGCGAAGCAAGAAATGTTAACTCTCGGTATTTGTAACATACTTGGAAGTTTTTTCTCGTCAATGCCAACTTGCGGAGCATTTACAAGAAGCGCAGTAAGTTCTACGAGCGGTGTACAGACGCCTATGGCGGGATTATATACAGGTAAAATATATGATTATCGTACAATATTTTCAATCCTTACTTTCTTATTTTATTAAATCTTCCGTATCATTTTAATATTTCAGGAACCTTAACGTTGTTAGCACTTAGTTTTCTAACACCTTACTTTTACTATATACCACGTGCGACACTCGCATCAGTATTAGTAAGCGCAGTTTTATTTATGGTCGATTTACGAATTTTCAAAGTTCTTTGGAAAGGATCCAGTGAGCAATCTCTAATCTTTATAACGCTTCATCTATTATTAAGTTTATTGTGCTGTTACTTATTCCCTGAAATTGAAAAACGTATTTCACATACGTATTATTAGAATCTAATGTTTATGTATTTGAAATCTTGCAGAAAAAGATGCAGTGGCAGCTATAGCGACCTTCGTGATTTGCATACTTTGTAATATTGAAATAGGACTTCTCTTTGGTGCCGCACTTAATATTGTTTTTTTACTTCATCCATCGGCTAGACCTAATTTAAGCACTATCGAATGCAAGGTAAATATAAATTTAAATTTATTGAAAAAATATATATAATATTCTTAAATTAATAATAATTTTATATATACCTTAGACAGACTTGGGAAATGAATACCTGATGCTTAAACCTGACACAGGATTTTATTATCCTGCAGTTGATTTTCTTTCAACCAAATTAGAAATGATAGCTACAGAATATGAGAAAAAAAAAGTACCATTGATCATAGACTGTGAAAGATTTCAAGGTTTCGATTACACTGCTATAAAGGTATTTAATTATACTTAATTATTTCATTTATATACTCCTTATAGTAATCTTAGATTTTGACAGAGTATGGAAAGATTATCTAAACAATTAAATAACGAAAGACGAAGATTATGGTTATTAAATGTTAAGCCAGAAGCTATACAAAGTATTTCAATACTAGCCGATGACAAATATTTTCTTTTTATCAATAATCATGAAAGCATACATTTTTCTATAGATGAAATCAAAAAGAATACCGGTACGTATGTAAATACGTTGAATAATTTCTTTTTAACAATTTTTACGAATAACATTTTCTGTTATTTTATAAAGACGAATATAATAATTTGGACGAGAAGAGTGAACTAATGAAAAATGGCGAAATAGAAAATCTAGAAATGGAAAATCATAAAAATTCAAATGAAATAGTTGAACAAATAAATGATGATACGAAAGAATCTACCAACATTTCAATACACGAGTCAAATACTTGATACAATGAATGTTTATTCTATATTATGTGCACAATTGGAATCATCATTAAAACGAATAAATTATCCATAAATTATACATGACATCTTAAATAATATTGTGTCAAGACAAACGATGTCTATATAATTAATCCAAAATATTAACTCGACTGACTGCTTCTGTGTTATGTATATTATTCAACAGAACTTATTGTAATTTATCATTTAGAAAATGATTAACATTATTCAAATAAAATATTGAAGGAATAAATAGATATAAAAACGAAAAGCAATTGATTGTTTAATTTTTTAAACATTAATTATTAAATTTATTAATTTACCTAATGATTAAATAATTCATTTGTTAAAAAATATCGATGTTGATATACAATTTTTTTTCCTTTCTCTCCCAATATATGATAAAGAAAAATTCGTGTCTATTTTGTCTTCTTTTTTATCCTTTGTTTCATAGATGGCGCAGTAGTGTTACACGTGCTACATGTGAAAATAAATACGTATACCATAACCTATACGCTTAAAAAAAGTTATTAGAAATACAATAATTAACAAATTAATACAAAATAAGAAAGCTTTGTCAATTATTAAAAATGACTGTGCATGAAGAAGCAGAAAAAAGACGTTTACTATCCTTAAAAAAGAAAAAGAAAGAATTTAAAGCTAAAGAAAAGCTTATTAGCGATGCTTTAAAAAATGTGGTAGGTTAGATTTATTGTTAGTAATAAATAATATCGTTTTTGTTTCACGTATTAGTCAAGTAAAAAAAAACAATATAAATGATTACTATACGCTGATAATTAATATTTCTTTAGAAGCACTAAACTAATTGACTTTTATAGGATAAAAGTCAAGCAAATAGGATCGTGTTCGATGATAACATTGAAAAAGATGTTACTATTGAAAAAGGAAAAGAAAAGAGAAAACGTAAACCTTTATTTGATAATGAAAACGATGACGATGACAAAGAATTCAACTGGAATGATGATAAATTCAAAACAAAGAAAAATTTAAACGCAAAGGTACGGTCTATACTATGTGAAAATTTAAAACTTCAGTAAAATAGCATTCACACACACAGTGTATATATTTTTTTAGTATTTAAAATTACAAGCAAATTATGGTAATGATTCTCGTTTTACTTTGGACAATCGTTTTATCGAAGAAGATGCAGAAGATAAAGAAGGAGTCGATGAATGCGATATAGAAAATGAGAAAGAATGGCAGTTTAATATATTGGAAGATGTTTTGGGTGTACCAGTTGCGAAAAAGACTAAAAATGAAGAACCAGTGAAGTAAAAACTAAAAATATTATAAGATATATAAATTTGATTTATAAATAATACTAAGCATCTTTAATATGACTTTGTAGGAAATTTGGAATGATACGATATGACCCAACAGAAGACCAACACAAAAAATATGAACTTACCAAGGAAGAAATTAAATCTAGCGTAAAGACTAAAAAGAAAAAGAAAAAAGAAGAAATTGCAGAAGAAACTAACAAAGATGAACCAATTATTGTATCAAAGGATATATATTATTCGGTATCGAATTCCTTAAACAAGAGTTTAAATCAACCAGGAGAATTTAGTTTATTGAAGACATATGGAAAGGATATTGACGAGACTGGTATACTTTGCTAATTTGCATATCATTTTGTTAACTCATTAACTTATTTTGTTTGAACATAAATTCATTTCCTTTTTTCTCAGAGAAACAAAAAAATGTTGGAGTTTATGCCAAAGCTAAAGAGATATCCAAAAACAAAAAATCGTTTCTTAATTTCGACTCCACGAATCCATTTAAATACGATTCATCGGATAATGAAAATGAAGCTGATACAAAAATGAATACTACAAATTATAAAGAAAAAAAAGGATCGATTAATTTATTTGGAAAAGATAGCGATAATTTGTTCTTTTCGACGAATGATAAACGGTTCAAAGGTACACGTGTAGAACACATTTAATTTGTTAATTAATCGATTATATAAAATACTACAATATTTATGTTTTAGATGCCTTAAATTTTTTTAAGAAGGAATCGGTACCAAAGAAGGAATTTAAGAATTTGAGACGCGAATTAAAACAAATTGTACGCGCCAAAGTTCGTAAGAATGTGAGAAAAACTGAAAAATGGGGAAGTAGAAAAAAAATTAAAAAACTATCGTGAACTGTAATATATAGAAAAAGAAGTTTTATTGCCTTGTCAATAATTTTAGCTCATACAGACAAGTTATTTTAATTATATAAATAGATAATTATCATACAAAATTTATTTGTAATAATACAATCATACATTGCTATGTTATTATTATCCATTTCGATATCAAAAAAATTGTAGAAAATATTGTTAGTTTATTATCAATGATCATTTAATATAATAATCATTAAATTTCAATTAATATAATAATATTTGAAAGAAATATACCAATACTTTAAATGAAAAAATAGTCATTAATCTTTGAACGTAGCTGTCTTATATTGTAACTTAAATTCATAAATTCTTTGCGCATCAGTTAGTTCAATGATTATTAAAAAAAAAATATATATATATATATTTTTATGATACTCTATGATAAAACTTTTCTAAAAATTTGAGAAAAAGATCGTGTGGTAAGCCACGTGATATTTGTTGTATGTGTGTGTTAAGTAAATTAAATGTATCCTCTTCATATATAGAGTAGGTGTTTGGCAAACCAATATCATTATATAGACGTTTTACTTGACTAACTTTCTCCGGATTTTCAGAGCCATAGCATGCCTAAAAAACGCAAAAAGCATTAATTGTGACAAAACGTAATAAGAATATCTAAAATGTATCTTAAATTGTTAAATGATTATATCAAGCTCACTTCTAATATTTTTCTTTGTTCAGGAGTCGCACGTTGTAATGCAACGACTATTAACCATGAGCACTTTCCTTCTTTTATATCTCCATCATTACTTTTACCGGTGACTTCTGGATTACCATAACAATCTAGAAAATCATCTTGTACTTGGAAAAAGTGGCCCATTTCTAATAAAATTGTTTGTGCTTGCCTATGCATTTCTGGGTCTTTAATACCCGCCTATATGTTAATAAAAGTATATTTTATTAAATAAAATATTGTAGTAAGCAAGCATATGCAATTTTTTATTTAACTCTATAGTTTACTTACAAGATACATGGCAGCCTTAATCGGCAGTACAAAGGAATAATAGGCTGTTTTGTACTTGACGATGGAATTATATCGATCCATTGTAAATAGATTTAAATTTGGCTTCTTACCATGATTAGTTGATAACATATCTAAATTTTGTCCCATTAACGTTTTCATGGTAACCTATTTATAATGGTATAAATACTTGTCAAATGGTTTCATTCGTTAAAAAAAATAATGAAATAAAGTAAGTACACACCTCTCTAAAAATTTCCATTAGATCAATATAACAATCTTTTTTTTTAAAATGCATTTCGAGTAGCTGATATATAGCATTTTCTAACATTAATCCATCATTAATGGCTGATAAACCAATATTATTATTAAGATACCAGCAAGGCTGATTTCTTCGCATTAGAGATTTGTCTTGGATATCGTCTATTACCAACAAGAATGCTTGAAGCTGCACATATATACATACATACATATATACAAATCTATATATATATTTATTTATATATGTATGTTATTTATCAATGTTAAAATATTAAATGTTTCATATTATAATGATTATATATTTTATAATGTTCACAATAGGTCAAAAAAAAATTACAGACCAGTTCTATGCACCAGCCTAGTATACGCGCTAATCGAATATTATCATTTGTTAATTGTTCTGGAGGTACAAACATTCGATAAGCATAAACTAATGCTAATGCTCGATTTTTCTTTCCTTCAGGAACATTGTACTGTAATACCTGGAAAAAAAATTCCGCTCTAGTGTTTTTAAATTTTATATAAACAACAAGAAATGTTCATTATTATAATAAGTTTGAATATTACTTTCACCAGCCACTTGGTGACCTCAGGTAAATCTAAGTTTTGATTATTATTTGTAAGATCGCGAACGACGTCGGGCCATACGGCCATCATCTCGCGACTTTCATCTTTGGTTGTCACCCAAGTTGTTTGTGTCATGATATGTGCCATCATTCGTAACTCTTGATTCGTAGTTCTAAAAATAAATTTATCAATTAATCTATGTATGAACTTTTTCTCTATTAATAATTCAATTATAAAGACAATTCACTTTTAACTGGTAAGTAAGAAGAAGTCGGTTGTAAACTTTTTTCTATACCTCTAAATTCAAAAATGAAAAGCATCGGTCGAGCGTCTTAAATTTATACCAACGTGCAAACATGTACATTATAATGACAATGTAACAGGTCGTCATATTTAAAAGTAAAAGTATTCAAAGTTACATAAACGAAACGTTTCTTTTTTTTTTTCTTATTTTGTTATTTCTATCGATAACGAAAATGTGAATATCGTAACAAAGAACGTTTCCTTCGTGACCATTATAATTATATTCTTTGGAAAATTATGCTAGATAATTTTGTTATATCTTATATAAGTGTTCTATTTTGATATAATATATGTATATTATTAAAATATGCCGTTTTTGGAAAATGATGTAGATACGAACAATGCTTTAAAAAATAATAACGAAAATATGAGTTTATATGACGAGGTAAGATCAAATATTAAATTTATAAATGTAGAAATTATTAAATAAATTTCATTTAATTCGCTAAACAATCTCATCGATTAATGTTTATTTATTTCTATATATAATACGAATTAGAAGAAAGAAACAAGAGCAAATATAAGTGATTCTTGGACAATAATTGTAAAGGCGATAACGCATCGTGGAACGCAAACAATAATACAATGCGATCCTAATTTAACGAAGGAGGATTTTATTGATATAATCATTAAAACGAGACTATAAATAATAATGGAAAAATCCCGTGAATATTCTAACGTTAATCGTACGATTTAACATCGTCGATACGGTCGCTTTGTAAAATTTAAATTTTGTAGTTAAAAAAGATGAGATAAATTTAAAATAAACATCAATTATTTTTTTTACACATCAATGATATAATATCGTAATCGAACAAATTTAAATAGACTAATTATTTGTAAATAGATCGAAGGTTGGATAAAGAATGCTTAAAGTTTAAAAATTCAAATGTAATACGATTTGAAGAAAATACAAATAATTTCTTATCGGCAGGAGAATGTTAAAAGAATAGTAATGAAGATCTTTTTAAACTGTTATTTTTGATTGCTAGATAAAACATAATAAATCGATGACGTCTTTATTGATTAATCGATCGATCGATTGATCATCAATGCATGTTAATTTTGACTTAATTCTAGTTTCGTATGCAAGTTTTTTGTTCTTTTTTAAAAAATAATTAAAAAAATTTGATCTTTTTTCAAAAGTTTCTGCCATAATTTTAGGATCGTCACAATTGTCTGTCATTATTTTTTTTTTTAATAATAATAATAGTAAATAATAAAATATCCAAATATCAGCCTTGGTAAAATGCTTGTGAAGTTTGCCTAAATTTTGTACCTCTGCTATTTGAATGACACCATAAAAACCGCCGCCGAGCTTGTATAGTAAGTATGACGTATAGTAATCTCCCTCTAATGTATAGTAGGTATGAGAGATTTATTGGACAAAATTTGGACTTTAGTTAAATATGTTCTGTCCGCCGGCCATTGTCTCTTAAGCTAAATGTATAGTAGTTATGAAAGATTGATTGAACAAAATTTGGACATCGGTAAAATATGTTCTATCTGCCGGTCACTGATTTTTAAGCTACTAATAATATAAAGACAATGACGAAAGTAGATAACAAGATACATAAATAACCGATTAAGTTAAAATAGACTAAAAAAGATCTTGGAAAAAGTAAAAAGAAAAAAACTTGAAAGATCTGTGAGAATAACAAGAAGAAATGATACAAAAGAAAAAAAAAAGAAGATCCGCGCAAATCACGCAAGATGTATCGCGCAAACTCACCTAAATAATCGGATCTTTTCAAAAGCCGGGAATTTCGTGTGCTTGTAATGGAATCCATTGGCGCAGAAACCGAAAAATTTTCTTCTAATGACAAAGGAAGACATGTTGCAGCTGATGGTATTCTTTCACTCACACAATAAGAGTATAAAAAATATATATATATATATCACTTGTTTATGGATGCGTTATCTTCTTTCTATTTTTAGTAACCTCTTATCGGTTGAAATAAAATATTTGAAGTGAAAACTGTTATTAAATGACTTCGTTATTATGGATTATTATTTTAACACGACCAAAAGATAAATGATAAACAACAAATGACGTGTAACTTCTTCACTACTCGTGTTGGTCGTGTTCACGCTCTTGCTTTCTCTCTTTCCCTCTCTCTTCTCTCTCTCTCTCTCTCTCTTTCTTCCGAAGAGAGAGATTGGAGTAACGTGCGCAGTTCTAAATGTACATTTTTCTACAGTAGCGCCTAATAGATTCTTTCTCTTATATAGTTAAACGGAGCTTTCGTTTTATTCCAATAAGCGAACGAGCGCGCGTGACATACCAGCCGCCTTTTAAATTAAATTCCACACTACGTTAATACAAACGATAGTATAACTATAATTCGTACCTTATCTCTACTTTAGAAGAATTTATTTATTTATTTCACATTTCCGATCGACAATTTTCAAAATGAAATTTACACGTTTTCTACCTCGCCACGGAGAAGAGGAAATTTCAATCACATCCTAGAACTTATTTGTTGCGTTGATTATTGTAACAAATGTGTAATATGGGCTCTCAATGGAAATATGTATCACAAATATGTGACACTGTTAACGTTCGTTTTAATATAGCGTCTTGACGATAGAATTACATAATTATTTCAATGTCAATTAAATGATCTTTCTTTTACTATCATTAAAAGTAGATCTTTTAAGCATATCTTTTTTCTTTTTTATATTAAATATTTCTTATTCTATCACACTGTTTTCTAATGAAACTATAAACTTATTATTTTCTTTATTATTCCTGATTGTTGACAATAAAATTTGTTTGATAGATTTAAATGGTTATTGTTCATTGTTTGAAGGGTACTTTGTTAGACGGTGCTTGTAATCTATACTTTGCTAATTCCACTTCGGCCTCTGCGAATGAATCTAGATGATAACAAAAGTACTCTGGATTTTTATACTCTTTATCTTTGGATGCGTTTGGTCCCACAGCTAAAACAGAACAAATAGTCTTTCATCGCACACAAGCTCTTTCATTAAATATTTAATATCATTTTTCATCTAAAGTTGAAGAAAAAAAAATGTTTTAAGCTCTCTTACATGTTGAAGGAAGTTTGCAGCACTTTTCGCTAAGACCTGGTACATTGGCATTTATGTTCTGTTGCTTTTGATTCAATAAAGATTGAAATGTGTTTAGTGCCCTGAGATGGATTAATGTGATATTCTGAAATCAAATTATATCTTTACAACAATGTAAGGTATTGTTAAAGAAGATGAGTTATTCAAATTACTAAATAAATCTTTTCTTTTTACTTATATATAATGTAATAGTAACATTTAGATTATATGACCATACAATTGGTAAATATTTTGTTATGTTTTTAGATTACTTAAGTTAAAAGATAATGAGTAGATAAAAGATGGTAGTATAATGAATTAAAATTAAAAAATATTATTATGCTATCTTATTTTTTAATAAGATTTTTAATTAAATGATAAGTGAAAAATCCATATATGATAATCACCTTCGGTAAAGTCCTCATAACCATTAGATGCAACATTTTATAATTTGTATCTTCTAAGATACGAAAATAAGTAGATGGTTATAAACTTTTAAAGAACTAATTGGAATGCTTTCATAACAGGTCAAAAACTGGTCAAATCATTGTTCTCTTCTCTAACCCAGGTAAAAACAATTTTACTTGACATGCGTAAAGGAGCTTTCTGTTTTATTGAACGGTTGATTTTCATTGGTGCATACTTTTTAAAGAGAATATTCGATTGGTAGATGTTATGTAATACGATAAATTTGTTACTTTACTATAGTGAATTGTGTGATTCGTTTTATTATATTGTGAAAATACGTAAGAATTGGCAGCTACGAGTTTTTTTACTTATGTTTTCAATAAACGGCTAATTTAATTAAAAAGGTACATATATACATACTCTGTGTCTGTATTATTTTTTAAAATGTACGTAATATTCTATAGTTCTTTGGTTATGTTTCATAAATGAGAGAAAAATGATCGTGCAGTGCTTAAAAAAGAAAAAAATTAAGATATTTTACATGTCCTTATATTTTCTAAACATTTATTTTTGTAAATTATTTTATTCAATTTATATATTTATTTTATAGCGCTACTATGTTTGGAGAGTATCTAAGGAAATTTACATATGATCATACTAAAGAAGGAAAGGAGCCTTTTCATAAATTAATAGGACTTGGGAAATATGCTTACATAGGTGCTGCTACGACAGCTTCATTTGATCTTTGTGTTGCACGACCAACACCTCATAAATATGAAAACTTTATTCGGGGTGGAAAACATTTTCTGGTTTGGATAGGTGCATCGTCAGCATTTACTCTTACTGTATTGTTTTTAACTAATATCAGAAAAAAAGACGATCCATGGAATTACTTTTATGGCAGTAAGTAATACATATTAATTAAAAGATTATTTTAAATCATAATCGGTATTTTAATTGATTACTATCATTTCTTTTAGCATTGGTTGCTGGCGGCTTTGTTTATTCTCTTGTTCCCAGAGGCGGTATTATAACTATGTTGACTGCATATGGATCTTTAGGAGCAGCACTTTATAAATACCAGCTTTTAAATGGTTATAAACCAGAAAAATTTAGGACTTTAGAATCACAGATGCTTTTTAATTTCGACAGATCGCCTGATGTAAGATATTCAAACCCAGGTTATTCTTTTTATGTAAAATGAAACTTTACTGAGTTGTTTAGTTACACAATATTATTTGACTAGCCTATATAAGGTTAGTTTTAAATAATATTTTCAGAATACATTTGAAGTAGTAAAATGTAATTTCTCCAAGTGTATGTAAGAAAACATAATAAAATATCAATAATAAGTTATCAGTCCAGTTTATGTTAACGTTTCTCCTTTTGTTACCTATTACAAAAAAAAGTAATTGATTAGATAAATTTAATTATATGTTCAACTCACATAGACATAAAATGGCAAATGACAGATAAATCTAAGCTCACGCAAGCTTCTAGATATTCTATCCTACGTTCTAATGTCGTAAGCTTCTCATTAAGAACAGCTATCCGTGATCTACAAGACATGTCTGAAAGAAAATAAAATGAAGATTATCTTTAATTAATAATTCGATTCCTAAATAATACTTGATATCACTTCTATGAATTTCATTTAAATAAATTTTCACAATTTTTTTCTATATTAATTCTTTTACCAATGATATTGAAATCTAAGAATTTCTATAAAAACATTCTTTAACTTACCAAAAGAATTAAGAAAATCAGTAATTTTTTTAATATTTCCGGTGATGACCTCTATATATTCACGATTTGCCCAATCCTGCTGTATTTGTTTTTGGATGGCCTCTCGATGTATTGCTGCCATTGTGTCAGAGTTTTTAGGTTATTGGAAATTTGATCTACAATTATATTCGAACAACGATTGACAACGATTTAAAAACACATCTTATTACAGGAGAAATAAAATATAAATATATTTGATATCTTTTTTCAAATTAACGATCTCTTATTTTAATGACACTAAGTTTGTAACATTGCGATGTGAGAGTGATAAATACAAATTTAAGCATACAAAATATGACGTTTACTGTTGCGCTACCTATGGATTATTATGCGACTATTTTAACCGCGAAAATTTCATTGCGAATATTATACATTTATCGTTTTTGTCTACCTGTTTATTGATAGTTATTTTTTCTTAATACATTACTTTTTTTCTAATCTTGTTTAATCTGTTTATTAAGAAATCATGAAAGTTGAACGATTTAGTTTAGATTTATTAAAAAATGTTCAGTAGTATCGATGACATCGTACGCCTTGTTTCAGATCACATCAAAACAACTGAGCAGTCGCAAAATACCAACAACTACGCATTAGCGAAGGTCACCTAAGCTTTTTTTAATACTTCATTGTAATCTGTATATCAAATATCACCACATTTTCAATGGGATTTTTATTACAAAGGAGTGAGGTTCAGTAGTGTTGTTCAATTTTGAGGAAAACAAGTATCAAGAGTTACTTTCGATATATTTCGATGTCGGTACAGGTTAGAAAATTTTATTACTTATATTTATATGTATTTCATACCGTATCATTCACATGAGACAACATATGATGATTTATTAGTATTATTCGCGTACTATTGGTTTAATGAGACTAATGTCATATTATTTTTAAATAGAAGATATAAACATTTAGTATTATTTCCGAATATTACGTATTTATATACAGTATCGATATATCCTATACGAGAATGCGTAGACGCCATCTTTAATTTCGACATACCGCGAAACTGATTGAATTTGATTTGAAACTTAACATTCTAAATTTAGAATACACAGTTAGTTGTTTATATACAAATATATATATCGTCGTAGATAAATTTTCCATGCTACACCTGTTATGCTTTTGGGAAGAAGCAGCCTGTTACCATCAATACGATATTTATCCGAATTATCTAAGAAACAATACAGTCGCAGTGGTCGAAAAAGTAGATCTTCGGTACATAATTTTCCTCCGGTAATAATTGGATCGCAATTGTGCAGGTAAATTTTACGGATATACGTGCGATAATATTACTACAGTAATATATACACATTAATTAAATAACATTCTTCGCAAGTATTTTTCTTCACTTATATTAACGTATGCGTGATTTATCGTCTTAGTGATTTGTATGACAATTTGAGAGGGATTTATTTTTATATATAGATCGACATATAATTTCGAAATATCTTTAACATTATTTGCGAAAACGATGGCATCCTCGACGAAAAACGATGCGAAAAATATTGACGAAACGTTACTCAAGAAGGGACAAAATCGATTGGCTTTGGAGAAGTCACCTTATTTATTGCAACATGCAAGAAATCCTGTACAGTGGTATCCTTGGGGAGACGAAGCTCTGGAGAAAGCAAAAGCGGAGGACAAGGTGATTTTCTTGTCCGTCGGATACTCGACGTGTCACTGGTGTCACGTTATGGAGAAGGAGTCCTTTGAGAATCCACGAATCGCTGAGATCATGAATAAGAATTTTGTTAATATAAAGGTTGACAGAGAAGAGCGACCGGATATCGATAGAATATATATGGCATTTATTCAGGTATCGCGTAAATTGATATGAATTCATATTAAGTGAGAGGTAATATTGTCAAGACATTTTCTCCAATAAAATGATTGTTCTGATAGGCTATTTCTGGACACGGTGGTTGGCCGATGAGCGTATTTCTCGCACCGAATTTGACACCTATCATAGGTGGAACCTATTTTCCGCCGGAAGATAGACACGGATTACCTGGATTTCAAACAGTCCTATTTAGTATTTCCAAAGAGGTATCTTTAAAAGATTGAATAATTTTTGTTCAATCGACAAATATCGTGTTTTACTAAATCGTACGGTAGATTTTTATCGCTTGGATTATTCCTTACAGTGGCGCGAGAATAAGAGCGAACTAATGTTACTCGGTGGGACCATTATTCAGAGATTGAAGAACGCAGTCGAGAACAAAGGAGGGCTGATCGTAAGCGAAAGAAAGACAATGGGTATACAGTGTAGTCGATTAGAATCGGCCTTGGCATCGACTCATTCTACTTTTTTAAACAGGAACGATCTGTACCTTCGGAGGAATGTGGTATGGCATGTGTTTACCTATTGAGGAGCTCTTACGAACCAAATTTTGGTGGATTTTCCGAGGCACCCAAGTTCCCTCAGCCGGTCTATTTGAATCTTCTTTTTTATATGTACGCACGCGATCCATCTAATGACATCGCTCGTGCATGTTTGGATATGTGCGTGTATACACTTAAAAAAATGGCACTTGGTGGAATACACGATCATATCGGTCAAGTAAGTTTACATTTGTCTCTACATTTATTTTTTTCATGATCCGTTCATTTTCTCACCTTTCATTTCATCCTTAAGGGATTTGCAAGATACTCTGTTGACGAAGAATGGCACGTGCCACATTTTGAAAAAATGCTTTACGATCAGGGCCAATTGTTGCAATCGTATACCGAAGCATTTCTAACTACCAAGGATCCGTTCTTTGCTGAAATTATTGACGACATAGCTACTTACGTTTCTCGAGATTTGAGACACAAGGTACTACTGCCGCGTATATTAGAAATTTTTTTTCGGATTCGTTCTAATCTAAAATTATAATTGAGATCGTTATCGTAGGAGGGTGGCTTTTACAGCGCCGAAGATGCGGATTCATATCCTACGAAAACATCAAGGGAAAAGAAGGAAGGTGCTTTTTACGTTTGGACGTACGATGAAATCAATACGCTTTTGGCCCAAGAAGTGGTCGATAAAAAAGGATTGAAACTAAGCGAGGTCTTCTGTTTTCATTTCACTGTCAAACCGAAAGGAAATGTACCTCCGCGTCGAGTACGTAGATAGATTCGTTAAAGTCATTATTACGAGGATGAAAATTCTTAAGAAATTCTCTATTTTAGGATCCTCATGGCGAATTGAACAAGCAAAACGTGTTAATCGTTTACGGTAGCGTTGAAGATACAGCAAAGCACTTTGGTCTAACGGTCGAGAAAACGCAAACTCTTTTGAAAGAAGCATCAGGAATACTTTTCGAAGTTAGAGAAAAGAGACCACGGCCACATTTAGACGATAAAATATTAGCTGCGTGGAATGGTGAGAATTGTTTACCGATATCTTGCTCTAATGATTGTTATTAATCATCATTAATCATTAATAATAGTCTCTCTCATTTATTCACATTTCCATTCCTAACACAGGTCTAATGATAAGCGGCTTAGCCCGAGCTGGGTCTGCAACGGGTAATAAGCGATACGTCGATTTGGCAACAGACGCTGCCAAGTTTATCGAATGTTATCTGTATGATAAATCCGAACGTTTATTGCTTCGTAGTTGTTACCGTAGCGATAACGACGCTATCGTATTAACGTAAGTATAGGAGGCTAGCATCGAATACATTAACCCTTTACTGTTCCGCAGCCTGTACTGTTGTCCTAAGCGTTGTCAGGTTGCGGCCCTTAAAGGCTTAAAAATCAGAGTTAAGAATAGATAGGAATATCGATGAAGCGAACGAAATATCGTAGGAGCGTACCTATAAGAGGCTACCACGCGGACTATGCATTTGTTGTGAAGGGATTGTTAGATCTGTACGAAGCTAATCTAGATCCACATTGGTTGGAGTTTGCCGAGACACTTCAGGATATTCAGGACGAGCTCTTTTGGGATACTACGAATGGCGGCTATTACTCAACTACCAAGGACGATCCTACAATAATTCTACGACTCAGGGACGGTACGATGAAAGATATTTTTCTATGTAATTTTAGCTCCTATGAGAGAGAATTAAAGTTTATTCTTCGTGGTCGCGCAAAAGCGCTTAACCGATTTTGATTCGAGATATACCTACCTCTCTCGTTTCTTTAAAGAGAAGCCGTGTTACGCGCTAGCAAAGACTATCACGTCAAAATATTTATAGCGGCACGTCTGCTCAGTGTTTCAGCTTGGTGTACGAGTTGTCTTGTAGTATGAGGAGGCATCGTCAAAAAGCTGAGATATAAAATATCCTTGTGCTTGTTATCGTGACTTTTATGATCTCGGGTTTGCAGATCACGATGGAGCGGAACCGTGCAGCAACTCGATTGCCTGTGGAAATCTATTGAGATTAACGACTTACTTGGAACGTATCGAATTCAAGGACAAAGCTGAACGTCTTCTTACCTCGTTCCAGAAACCTTTGACGCAGTTACCAAGTTCTTTAGCGGAAATGGTGAAAGCGTTGTTGCATTATCACGATAGTTCTACGGAGGTACGTATGTTCATTCGTTTTTGTCTATGATATAGACAAACAGGGAGGGTCTGAATTATCACCTATTAATTATCCTATTAAGGATCGACCGATAACGACGAAAGTTAATCTTTTTCAGATCTATATAATAGGAAATTCGAGCGCGGAAGATACGAACGAGTTATTGCGCGTTGTACGCGAACGTCTGATACCGGGACAGGTTCTAATATTTGCGGATCCGAATAAACCCGATAATATATTGCTTCGCAAAAACAAGGTCCTTGCCAAGATGAAGCAGGACAAAAGTGTACCGAGAGCCTATGTATGTCGATATCGAACATGTTCCTTACCCGTGACGACTCCGGCCGAACTTGCGGATTTATTGAGCACGGAACGATAAAAGAAATGCGCCAAGTTTGCCTTGTTTACTACGATCTAACGAATAACAAAGGAAATAATAAATTCAGATAATTCTTAAGTGCTATGGCACGATTATTCTAGAACAATTCTAACGCGATGTTTTTAATTATAAAGTTAACGCCAATTATATGGCATACCTTACAAGTTTTCACGTCTTCCTCGATTTTTAGATTGTCGCGCGTTGGCGTGTTCGATCGAGTACAGAGATTAACAAATACGTTTCAATTTTGCGAGTGCTGTGTTAGATGTTGTAGTAATATCCCGCTGTAAATTGAAGAATATTATTTTTGAATCTAAGATATATATACTATATATATATATATATATTTATGTAGTTTATATTTTAATGCTGCTACGACAGGACGATATATTTTTAAACGTCCAAGCACATATCCTGTTCAAATAAAGTTACGATATAGAAAAGCAATCAAATATCTGTCGCATTTGCTACTTAAATCCAAATCGCATTCTCCCAAATGATGAAAATCCTAATGTTTTCGTTACTTGATTTTAGTCTTAGCATTATTTTCTTTACTTTCTTTTATTCTATTATTTTTTTTTGTCTTTTTTACTTCCGAAATCAATTAAAATTCAATCGATTCAGTCGTTCTCGATGAAGAATCGATGTACTTCCGCGCTCTTTGTCATTCGAGTCAAGATTTGTTAGGCGTTGATTATCGACAGACCTCTGGCATCGTCGAGAATCACGGTACAACGATTCGCGGCTCTAAAAGCCACGTTACGGATTCCAGCCGAAAATAGACGAACACGCATACTATGACGCCGTGATCGGAGGAGAATCTCGGAGGTCTCTCGCTTGTAGCTCGAGGATACCAGAGGCTCCAGTTTTAATGCGATGCACTCTTACAGACGCGGACCACTCCTCACTTCCGCTTCATCTTTCAATATTACTGAGATATGGATAGATAAGTCGTAACATTTCCTTCATGATGATTACGCAGAAAATAACAAATGATCGCGAAAAGGATTTCTCAACATCGTTACGTTTTAACGTCATACATTAAAAAATAGAATTTGCATTTGATTTAAACATAAAAGAAAATAAAAAAAAAAACAGAAAAAAAAAAGAAAAAGAAAAAGAAAGGAAACGAAGATGAAGTATCTATCAAAATAATATTCAAATAATTTCACGAAATAATAAGATGTGTGATATAACAGATCTCATTCGTATATCTCTTGACGTAGATTAAACTCAATTCATTCGTTGCTCTTGATTTGTAGAAGATTACTGTCGAAACTGTCTCTCATGGAATTTCAATGTACAATCAAGCTTGCGAACAGGTGATCTCTCAGGTAAGGGTAGAAGGTTACACGCGATGCTTAGTTCTTGAAGAAAAGGAAAGCGAGGATCAGAAGAAAAAGAAAAAGAAGAAGAAGATGAAGAGGAAGAAGAAGAAGTAATAGAAAAAGTAGAAGTAAAATAAGAGAAAAAAAAAGAGAATAAGAAGAGATAGATCTCAAGGACTCGCTGAGATAGTTCTCTCTTTTTTTTTTCTCTCTCTCTCTCTCTCTCTCTCTCTCTCGAGTACTGTCCAGAAAGAAGGAGGTGTTTTAAGAGAAGAAAGGAGGATGAAGCAGTGGAGGTGATGAAGTATAGAAAGAGACAGAAATTTAAGGAGAGAGAGAGAGAGAGAGAGAGAAAGAAAGAAAGAAAAGCACATAGGTTGAAGCAGAGGCAGAGAGGTAGAGGTAGGAGGCAGGAGGAGGATCTTCGAATCTTTTTGAGGGAGGAGAAAGAGGAGGTTGGAGGTCACGAGGTGGCAAGCTCGCGCATGCGTTTACGCCTCGACGACGAGGATGTTCGACGTTTTTTTCAGTCACCGGTCGACGCTGCGCCGAGCACTGTCGACACGTACGTTCCCGACGTACCTACACGGGGCACCACCACCAAAAACACCAGCACTACCACCACCAGTGCCGCCGTTTACTACTACTTATACTACTACTACTACCACCACTATTCTACTACCAATCACCAACCACCACTACCACCACTACCATCACAACTGTTACTACCACCGCTACCACTATCGTGTCGTCGTGAACAAGAACGGCACCACCAGTTGGTATCAATTCCCTTCCAACATTGAAGTCGATCGTGCGCGGTGGAGAAGAGGAAGGGTAGATGGATGGATGGATTGGATGGATGGATAGATAGATAGTTAGATGGATAGATGGATGAACTGATGGATAGATAAATTGATAGAAATATAGATAGATAGATAGATATATATATACATATAGATAGATAAATAGATAAATAGATGAATAGACATATAGATCTAGAGCAGTTGTTAGTCGTGCGAAACGACGAAAGAGAGTAAACTTTCTGCGTGATCCACGCGCGGGACGGCACGCGGTTAATTCGCGCGAAAAACATCCCCAGTTTTTTCTCTATCTTTACGTGAACTTTCTATGCATAAGCATATACGTATACTATAACGCAGGTATTTACGCGTATACGTAGGATATAGAAAGAAAGTTCATTTGTAGAGATATAATTTATATATATATATATAGGTGAAAAAGAAAAAAAAAGAAGAAGTAAGAGATGAAAGAAGGAATAATCCAGCGAAAGAGGGTAGCAGCGAAATAAAGAGAGAGAGAGAGAGAGAGAGAGACAAGAAAGTGGTAACGCAGGTGGAGGAAGAAGAGAACCGGGCAGGCGCGTCTTGTGCTGAACGGTCACGCATTTGGATCCTGCTCTGACTCTTCTCGACTTCTACTCTCTACGGCGCAAGATGCGGCAGGCCGATATTCGGCCGCTGTTTCGATCACGAAAATCCGGAACGACGTGGCCTCGACGTCGAATCGACGTTGGTTATACCGGTAAAGCTATAATACAGTGAAAACAAGATCAAGAGGAGGAAGAAAAAAGAAAAAAAAGAAAAAGAAAAAAAAAGAAAGGGTAACCATCTCGTGGTTGGTTGTTGCTTTTGCTGCTACTGCTGCTGCTGTTGCTGGTGTTGGTGGTGTTGCCGTTGCCGAGTCTTTCAGGACGGCGTGAAAATAAATCAAAGCGCTTTTTCTCTCCCGGCTAAAGCTGGAACATCCTCGATGACGAAGTTGCTCGAAAGCTCCGGGTGCGAGCACAGTTGACGTAAATTTCGTCTACGGTGCGACGTACCAACGAACGGAGGGTGAAACAAGTACCTTCCCTCCTCCCTCCCTCTCTCTCTCTCTCTCTCTCTCTCCCTCCCTTCCCTCTTCCCACTCTTTCTCTCTCTATTCTTCTATTCGTATATTTCTATTTATCTTTCTCTCTCTCGCTCTCTCTCTCTCTCTCTCTCCCCTCCGTTCTCCTTTTATTCTCTTCCTCTCTTTTTCGAGGGGACGAAGGATCGACGCGAGAGTAGAGGAAGAAGAAGAAGAAGAAGAAGAAGAAGAAGAAGAGAAGCAGAATAATAATAAGAAGAAGAGGAACGGTCCGTCCTCGATGTCACCCCGGCGACCATTCTTGTCGATCTCGAGGACGGCCGTGTTGTTACCATCGAAGAGAGCTGCTACTTACCGCGTCGTTTCACGTCGTCTGCCGATGAGGAAAGCGTGAGCGACGAATCGTGGACGAGATCGAACTACGACGACGAGGACGACGAGGACGACGACGAGGACGAGGACGAAGAGGAGCTGATCGAGGTCGCCCCGACGTTTCTGTCGGCGTCTCTTGAGTGGAAGTAAAGCAGCTCGAGAAGTAAGGGGAAGAAAGAGAGAAAAAAAGAGAGAGAGAGGGAGAGAGAGAGAGAGAGAGAGAGAAAGAAAATGTCCACGCATTATCCACAAGGATATCGGTATCGTTCGCCGACGAAGGCTACGAGTGGCGAGCAAGGATCGGATAGCGACGTGGCCGAGCTGAGTGACCTGGAGGACGACGAGGACGAGGATGGAGCTCCTGCGACGAGCGAACGTCGACCGGTCGTTGGCCGGGAAACGAACGATCTAGAGGATGCTGAAATCGACGAACGTTTACGTAGAATCAACGAAGATCGTCGAATACATGAAATGGATGATGACGAGGAGGAGGAGGAGGAGGAGGAGGAGGACGATGAAGAAGACGAGGATGAAGATGAGGACGACGAGGAGGACGATGATGATGATGATGATGATGATGATGATGATGATGACGATGACGATGATGACGATGACGACGATGATGATGATGATGATGATGATGATGATGAAGACGGTGAAGAACTACCCTATCCAGGTTTTGTGCCCGTTGCTCTGCGTTACCTCGACCAGACTACACGACCGCGCAACTGGTGTCTCGCGCTCATCACCAACCCATATCCTTTTGGAAGCTTTTTTTTTTCTTTTATTTAATATCGATACCGTTCTAAAGAAATATATAATACGGTATGCGAATGTATTTTTATTGGTGTTTAATCTACTATTGGGAATATGGAATGAAGATTTTCTCATATTGCTACTCTCTAGGTGAGTCTGTTTTATTCTCTATCCGGGATATTACTAATATTATTTATTTTTTTTATCTTTTTTTTTTTTTTCTCTTTCCTTTTATCATCGTAAGTATGTATTTCTTTATACGCGTTTCTTCGTCGCTTTTCAACTATTTCCACGTGTGTTCATCGTAATCATGCAAAAATAAACGTAAACCACTGGATACGTGCGAATATATATACACGTATCTAAAGAGGAGGACGACGATAGGGATTTATTTTTTAATGGAATTAGAAAGGAAAGAAAAAAAAAAGGTGGAGAGAGAAAGGAAGAAAGTGTTTACTTATTGCGATCGGAATTCTTGTTGGTGTCGTTTGTTTTTTTGTCGAAAGAATCTTTTTATTTCTTTTCTTTTTTTCTTTCGTTCCTTTCCTCTAAACTCGCGTATATTTTACGCCTCATCTATGTCTACCTACCCTCGTTGATCGAATTACCAAAATTCCCTCGTGAAAATTCGCTAAAGTTTTTTCCTACGAGAGAAAGTAGCTAACGTCTTCGGTCCGCTTCCCGCGTAATGTGTTTCCCGTGTAATTCGGTGCGAGGGAAAATTTTCAAGCGCGCTAAGAATACGTCTTAGTCGTGCATGCCTTCTATAATGTTTTTCGTTCGACTATCGTATCGAGTTCACGAGAAAGAAAGAAAGAAAGAGAGAGAGAGAGAGAGAGAGAGAGAGAGAAAGAGGAAGGGGTGAGAAGAAACTTTAAAAAACATTTTTTTCAAACTAGTCACCAATTTTCTACATACGTAATTTCCTTTTTTAAAAGATTACTAATCGTCTCATCGATTGTGCATTTACGATTTTATGTGTGCGTGTGTTTCTTTTTTTTTATTTTAGATTTACGCTACATTGAATTTTTGCGTATTCGTATTAGTGTTTAAGTAAAATCATGTGCACGTAGCTTGTCACAACATTCAACGTAAATATCCACGTTCCAAGAGTCCTTTTACGAATCGGTCATCGCGTAAGCTCGCCCCGTTCTTGTTTTATTATCTCTAATTTTAGCGATGCTTACCCATCGCTAAAACGTCCATGACTACTATTCCTGCCTATTCGCTTAGATGCTTCAAAGTTTTCCGGATCCGTCCGTCTCTTTCTTTCTCTCTCTCTTTCTCTCTCTCTCTCTCTCTCTCTCTTCTTTATAATACCAAGGTATATTTCCTATCCGGCTAAACAAAACGATCACGAAAGGCAGGCAGGCACGTTAAGAGCAAAGTAGATAGTGCCGATCTAGACAAACGTTTTACTCGACACTCGGAAACGCATTCGAATATGTTACCATCCAAGTAGACAATGTCGGTTGATGGATAGACAGACATGATTTGCGTTGGATTCTTCGTCAAGTATACTTGTGTCTAAATATGTCTAAATAAAGAACAAAAACAAAGAGAGAGAGAGAGAGAGTGAGAGAGGGGGGGAGAGAAAATGTGGAAACTTTTCGCGTTACGTTCTATAATAATTTAATATCGGTGTATCTCGGAAAGGAAATCCAATGTAGTTGAGTCTCTTCGAAGAAAAGGGGGTCTACGTCACAGGACGTTCCGGAAAAGAGGCGAATCGCAAACCTTTCCATTCCTTCCTTTCTCTCTTTTTTCTCATCCCCTTTCTCTTGTTGCGCGCGCGAGCGGAAGCTCGATATGCGAAGCTGTACTGCTGACATCACCTTAAATAGGTCATTGATTGACCTATCCCCAGGCGAACCCTACCATGCGCGCGTGATTACCACCTTCTACTGTTGCACGGTTTCTCCTTCACTTCTTCCACTCTCTCATTCTCATTCTCTTTCTTTTTATTCCTACTACATATACTCCCATCACCCTTGATGTTCCAGTCTCGTTTCAATCTCTCTCTCTCTCTCTCTTTATCTCTCTTTTCTTTTCCCTTTATTTCAACCCTCTCTTCTTTCTTTCCATTCCGTACGTTCCTTCTATCCTTATAAATACATAGGTATATATATATATATATATATTCGTCTGTAGGAGGGTAACCGCGCCGCGCGTTTGTACGTGGCCGTTTGTGCGCGAAATTACAGACAGGGTAGTAACGGTAAGGGACGCACGTGGTCTGCGGGCAAAGTTTAGTCAGTACCAGGATCGGGGAGCAACAAGCGCCAGCAGAAAGATATTCTCCCCCATTGTGTGCGGGCGGACAATGGGTGACTGCGAATGCGGGCCAAGCATTTCGCGATTCGTCGCGTCTTTTATTCGCTTTTTCTTCCCTTTTCTTTATTTTTTTTTTTCTTCTTCTTCCTATATCCCCCCTCCCCTTCCCCGTTCTCCTTCTCCTCTTTTTTCTTTTTTCCTAATTTCTTATTTTTGCCTTCGTATATACTTTCCCCTCACCGATTCCTTCTTCCCTCGCCTACACCCCCTTTTTTGTTTTTAATTCTTTTCTTTTGTTTTTTTTTCTTTTTTTAGATTTGTCGACTACGCATATATATATATATCATGTCGTGATTCGCGACTTTTCCTTCCCTCGTATTAGCTAATAAACTTCAGCCAAACCCCAGCCAGCAAAGGCGATTGGAAAAACGAAGAATAATAATTAAAGAACGAGAGACGGGGTTCCAATCTTGGCGGCGAAGTTCGGTTACCGGAAGCTTTAGTCGATTGAAACAATTTGCCCGTTAGTCCTCCCGTCGTCAGCTTGATTGTCTATTAAGCTTCGCGATAAATGAACTAAAACGTGGCGGCATCGATAAGAGAAAGAGGGAGAGAGAGAGAGAGACACGGACACCTTTACCTACCTACCTACCTATCTATCTATCTAGTTTCTAGTAAGTGATGTAAACCAATTGCTTTTGTGTTTCTTCCCCTTTTTTCTTCTTCCCTTGATCTATTTTTTTTTTTTTTCACTTTTATTCTTTCGAGAGTTTCTTTATAATCCGTCCCGTCGAAAAACGGGAAGAGTGCAAATAAAAACAAAAAAAAGAAAAAAAGAAAAGTAGTTACATTCAAAGTTCTTACTACTTGTTTACTACCACCAGTATCTATTTGGATAAACTTTCGTAAGGTATCGTAAATTTTCTATCTAACGTTATCTAATCTTCTTTTCTCTCATTTTATCTCGTAAAAAACTTGATATAGTTTTTATGTCGAAAAGTTTTGCCGATTTTCTTCTATGCCCTCGACGATGGATGGAAATGCACCGAGACAAATCTATCTATCTATCTATCTATCTATCTATCTATCGATCGATCGATCGAAGGTCGTAGTGTCGGATAATAATTAGACGAGTTACAGTAGTGGAACCCTAAATTGGACGTTACGAATACATATAACGTGAAACGGGCGCGCGTGGTTTATCGGAATTATCGTTATATTGTCTTATCCGAGTTCTCCGAGCCGATAAATTAAATTCGATTAAAGTGCTCTTCGATCGTATCGTCAATTTTCTTTATATGACGCCCGTACCATACCACCCCATAGGTATCTATACCTATATCGAACCTTTTAATCTCCCCTCGTAGAAATGAAAAGCGACGTTTTCAAAGAAATCGTCGTCCTGCGGTTAAATGACTACTAGCGGTTTATTGCGTATAGATACGAGTTAGAACAATATACTCTCTTTTTCTTTCACTCTCTCTCTCTCTCTATCTCTCTCTTTCTCTCTCTCTCTCTAATGTAAATCGCTTATGGGTCGCGCGGGTTACACAATCGTTAAATATTTGAGAAGCGAGGTCCGAAGCGAAAAAGTCGATAGAACGTGTACGTAGCACGTAGACACATACACGTACACGTATATATTTGTGTAAACGTATGTACGTTTGCGTACGAACAAATATGTACTTTTTGTTCGTAATACATTCCCCCTTCTCTCTCTCTCCCTCTCTCTCGTTATTTACGAACCGCCCTATGTCTGATTTGTCTTTTAAGAAAACGTGTAGAGCGTGAAAGGGATGAAGTTTCAAGCTAACACGAAATTTCGAGAAAAGTTAAATAGGGCGACGACGTATCGTCGCGACCGAAAACGCGTTCGAAGAGACCAGAGGAATATGAAATAACGTCGTATTCAATAGGAATACCTCGTACCTACGTATCTAGACGTTTCATATATTTCGTCTACGTTAGAAGGATTTGATCCGAGGTTGGCTGCCTCTATTTCGAATCATCCTGCGTGATTGATTTTGTTCAACAGGATCTCGACGTGTATTTTATGCGAACTTGCTCGTCCTTTCTGTATGTATGTGTTATCCTATTTTTTTTTTCTTCTTCTTTTTTTTTCTTTTTTTTATCACGTCTCATCGCAGACCACATTTCTATCGGACGTTGTAGAATTTGGTTTAACTGGGTCAGTTGAAATTTCTAATCTACCTTTAACCCCTTTGAGTACTACGGACGCATATACGTGTCCAGCTAAAGTTATCTCTGTGTTGACTGAAAGCGTATACATACGTTTTATTATTTTTGTTTTTTTTTTTTTTGTTATAACTTATTGTAGTTATACCTTGCGTATTCAACAACGTAGTCCGTATTATAACAACAAAAAGTATTCCGTTTTCAACGATTGTAACTGTTAATAACCGGCGGATTGTTTCCGTCGGGAACATTAATCACTCACAATAATTAATACGCGTACAACATGTTAGAAATATTTTTAATTATCGTAAAAATTGTATTATTTTTTTGTATTAACAAGTACGGTTTTAAAGGTACACATTGGTGATATTGTCGTAATGTGAGAATGTGAAATCGGTCGTTCGAACTTTTTCACTTTAAGAGCTCTACCTTTTATATTTTTATTCCAATGAAAACCGATAAAAGGAATTCATTTTTTTTTTTATTTATATTTTGTTCGTTCGTTCATCGTTTTCGTTGTCGTTGATAA